CCTATACGATCTATATCGGGATCAAGGATGGCATTCCAATCACCCGCTAAAACTACCGAACGAGAAGTCGTCAAAACGGCTCGATCCGCCGAAACAAACCAGGCCGCTGCGAATGGTCATTGGGCGCATAAACCCCAATGAGACGAAGAGCCTTGTCCTTTATGGTAACATCCAGCACGCAAAGCCTGCCCGCCGGATCCGCGAAGACAAGAGCACACACCGCATCCAGAGACTTGCTCACCAGCCAGGAAACACCCCTCGAGCGTCCATCAAAACATGCTGAATAGAGGACGAACCTCTTAGACAGAATGTCCTCATGATCGCGAGATAAAAAACGGGTCTCCTGCACACAACATACATCCACCCCGAGGCGCTGAAGATCGCGATCGAGCCTCGCCCTTCGAGACTCCGACCTCAGGCCCCGGACATTCAAAGTTGCTAACCAGAGAGCCATTATCAGACCTAATTAGGGTTGGGACACTGATTTGAACATGGTCGGGGTAAGGATACCGACCGTCTCTCCCATAGACCCATGGCCCATCTCATTGTTGATGGTGCCATCTTGGGAGAGACCGCCAATATCCCAGGGACATGTCAGTTTTAAAGCTCTGTAAAGGGAGGGATGAACTAAAACTGGGACCCTCCCTACACAAAATTTTTTCAGATGATTCAAATCTTCACTTTCAGTGATGGCAATCGGGGGAGACATTTTATATGATCTAATCGCCTCCTCCAACATGGCCCATGCTTGGCTAGACCCAGACCCTGTTCTTATTACAGTAAGAACTCTCTGGGCCTTGGGGAAATTATGAGGGTCTTCCACGTCCTTATCGGCGTACTGCCTTATCGATAGAAGGTATTTCAAGTCTTTTATCCGATTCCCATAGTCCTTAGCCTTTTCAGCCTGGGCCGGGGAAATTCTACAGGTATCCTCTCCTGTATTGAAGGTATGTTTTGATGTTTTCTTCTTTTTTTCCTTGGTATCCTTGGCAGGACTTCTCTGCCTTTTAGGAGCGGGAGGGGGCATTTCAGGGGTTTTAATAGGGGAAGGGCTGGGAGTATGTCGAGGGGTAGATGAGGGTTTTTTTTGGTACGGGCTGGGATCTCTGCTGCGTGGAACAGCTTTAACGGGAGATGAGAAAGGGGTGGAATGCTTCTTTGGAGAAGGATGTTTTGGAGTCGCAGCTGGGGACAAGTTAGATGACGTTGAGGGAGTGGCTTTTTCGGACTCAGGTAGCCTCTCCTTGTCCAATTTTTCTTTCAGTTGTTTTATTTTCTCCGATTTAGCAAATCCTGGGTTGTATTTTAGTCTTTTTTCTCTCAGAGTTGCATCAGAAGCCAGGGCATCGCCCTTCACGTTGACAGTGGGAGTGGGGCTGTTAGTGTCTTTTGCCCTTGGGGCTTCATTGGACTGAGGTCCCGCTGTCTGGCGCTTCCCTCTGGCCTTACCAGCAACCAGCCATTCCCCCTCCCCCTTCTCCACAACTGCACTAGCAGCGGGAGAAGGCTCTTTTGGGTAATGTGGCCTTTGTGCCAACCGGTGGATTTTCCCAACCGGCCCCGAAGCTGGCATGCCCATTACAGGCGAGGCGGAAGGTAACGACGCGGTCAGAGGGGATCTTGGTCAACTGGCGCCTGAACTCCAGAGGCCTTCCTCTCTGGGCAGGAAGAGGAGAGGTGACCAGTCTCTCCACACTTCCAACATACCGGTTTGCGGCCGGTCACAATGACCGGCAGTTTCAGGCACCCTACTACCAGACAGTTGGGGATGGAGCGGAAGGCCTGTTCGTTTAACATAATTTCAAAACTCCACCCCCCTTTCAGGCTATCGCAAGTAGCACCCAGGATCTCGCCATACTGCGAAAGGAACGCAGCCAGGTGCTCTCCGATAACCTGAGGAGGGACCTCGTATATTGCCACCCTGGTCCTTCTTCGCCCTTCATATTCTGTGCGCAGTATATGATCTTTCGTTATCAAGTCCCGACTTGAAGCGGCGACACAGTCTTCCGGCGTGGGTAGCAATACGTCCCACATGAAATATCTCGCTCCCTTCACAATTCTGAGGGGCTTAAACCCCAAGGACTCCAGTGATTTTAACACTGTGTCTTTTGTCGAGCGACAAATTTTGCGCGAGCGCTTGTCCACGACAAAGAACGACACAATTCTTTTCTCAATTTTTCGTAATTCCTGGACGTCTTCAAGAGTCCACCTTCCACGACAAGGTGAGCGTAACTCTTGGCCCTCTCCAAGAACTCCGCAACATTGATCACACAACTCGGTGGGGACGACCAACAAGAAGGCAATTCCCCGGCTTCTGCATTCTTATTTTCCTCGACGTTGCATTGGTCATTGGTTTCCTTGGTCTCAGTCTCTTCTTTCTTTTTTTCCTCTGAGGATGCTGCTGCTTTTTTTAAAGTATCCACTATTTCCTCATTAGATGGAACCAAAAAAGGGTACTCACTTGTGTCATTTTAATCCGGTGGTAGTTTTTTAATTGAGAACAAATGCTTTTTTGTGGATTTTTTAAAATTCGGAATTATTGGCTTCTTTTTTTTAATTAAAAAAGAAGGCGTTGTTCTTGATTTTTTTTTTCCATTTTCAAAAGAGCAAAGGAAAGGGAGGGTGGTATGCGAAAAAATGGAAGGAAGGAGGGGCGGTACGAGAAAATGAAGGGTTGGCGATAGGAAAAAAATAAAAAAAAAAAAAAAAAAACCTTGGGGGTAAAAAAATAAAAAAGTTTCGCTTAACAGCGAGACAACAAATTTAATTAACAATTAAAGGTCGACAGACAAAAAATAAAACAGAAGGACGTATAAAAAAATTTTAAAACGACAATTTTAAAAAAAAGAAAACAAGTTTTGCCTAAAAAGCAAAACAAATTTAAACAGAAAAAAAAAAGTGGAAATTAAATGGATTTAAAACAAGAGAACAAAGTTCACAAAAAAAATAATTAAAAGGACGAGAGACAAGCAAGCAACAAATTACACAATAAAACAAAAAAAAGTTACAAACGGAAAAATAAGAAAAAACGCTATACAAAAATAAAATACGAAACTAAAAATGTGACAATTTACAATATGGCTGCCGCTAAAAAAACGGTCAACCCAAAAACAAAACGTTAAACAAGTGAAAAAAAGGACAAGAATTACAAAATAAGCACAAAATTTAAAAACAAATACTATATACACGAAACGAACTTTACGGGTTTTAAAAGAAAAACAAAGAAATAATTAACACGTAATAAATAAAGGAGGGGAAAAAAAAAAAGGTCGGACACGAAACATAAAAGACGAAAAAATAAACAGAGAAATTCGGAGGAGGGCACGGAAGAAAATAAATTTAAAAAGGAAAAGAAAAAACGAAAAAAAATCAAAACGTCAAATAATAAAGGACTAATAGCAAAAATAAAAAGTAAAAATGGGTAGTGAAAATGAAAAATCAAAAATTTTAAGAAATAGTCAAGAAAAGAACGTTAGAAAAATCAAAACTTTAACAAAGGAAACGTTAGCAAAATCAAAAATTTAAAAATAGTCAAAAAAAAAAAAAACTAAAAATAATTCAAAACTTAGGTAAGTAAAGACAGTCAAAAAAAAAACTCCAATAGACAAAATGAACGTCTAAAACGGTTACGAGTAAGCAGAAATCACCAGATAATGTAAAAGAATGAGGGGGGACTTGCATTGCATTTTTATACAATAAAGATGCAATGCATCATGGGACAGGGATGCAATGAATTATGGGATCGCATGAAGACACAAGGCATTATGGGTATATGGACAAATATAAAAGCAACCAATTTTTCCCAGTGCGGCATGCTTGGAGTGACGTTCATGGTTGGCAGCTAGAAAAAGTCTGTTAGTGCGATTAATAAGACAGAACTCAAGAAGGAACGATTCGAGGTTGGAATACCAGCTGGGAGAGCTTGAATTTACTCGCTGGTTGCTGTTTTCTTTTTGTTTATTCTCCACAGATTCTAATCATGAATATCACATTTCTTGTTCCAGTGTCTTTGACAAAGCCATACTGTTCTTATCTTATTTCCTGTCTACTTCTGCTTCACACTTTGTTCATCAGGATTCGCATCATTAGTTTGATTATGTGGCTCATAAAACTGGTTGTCTGATAGTTTGCATTTATTTGGTCTGTTTGGTAATGTTTTGAAGATGGATTTACTGAGGTCGCCACTGTTTTATATTTCATTTATTACTTCTCTGATCTTGTTGATGCCAAAATTTGGAGATTTTTGACAAGAAAAATTTTAAACATTTAAAAAATAACAAAAAAACAAAAAAATCAGGATATTGGAATTTTGAACTGAACCCATTATTTCATCCACCAAAGTAGATTGTTCTAGTTCCACATGCTATCCAGGACACATGGCCCAGTGGATAAAAGCATTGGTTGAATCCAATACCTTGACCCAAAGAGTTGTGAGTTTAATACTTGGCTTAGCTGAGGTGAACAAAACCTTGGAGAGTTAAGTTAAATGGGAGATAACTGATACATCCAGAAGAGGCATGGCACATGGAACTAGAACCATTTACTCCAGTGGACAAGATAAATGGTTCAGTTAGAAATTTCAATCATCTGAAGAAGGACAGAGCATACAACAGCCGAAACGTCATGAATATGGCAACAAAGATAAGGATAACAGTTCGAACAATGTAAATAGTGTAAATAATTACAATACCTCATCTCAGAAATACAGACAGATAACAAAACAGGAATATCATTTAAATTCTTTAAATTAATCTGAAAAAAGTGATTGTTTTTTTTTTGTCAGCTGGATTTATCAAATTCCCTAGAATACTAGAAATATTAACTGACTAAATGCAACAACTTTTTCAAAAATTACTGTAAAAAGAGGTGTTTTGTAAGGAATTCACTTCAGACTTTTATATTAGTGATTAGGTTAGGAGTTGACGTTTTAAATTCTTTAAAATATCAATTAAGTAACATTTTTCGTATGACATGATGATAAACTTTTTGTTCATTTGCAGTTGATAGAGGTAAAAGAACCTGAAACACAGAAGTGTATTGTAGCAACTCCTGACGAAAAACCGAAGGTTAAAGAAATAAAGGATAAAGAGAATAAACTTAATGGTAAGTATTTCTATTTTGTACAAAAAAAAAAAAAGAAATAATCTCAAGGATAGATGAAAAATATACTTCATTTATATGTGTCTATTTAATAAACATAGCTTAGTCTGGCACAGGGCCACAGTCTTGGAGCACCCACTGACGATCAGATCCCCCTATTTCTATTTTACCTCTCAAAATGAAATTTGAAAAAAAATCATTTCTTTAATTTATATCCAAATGTTGATTTTTCAGTAATGTTGCCCTAATTTGATTGCATCTAAATTTTGGAAATTAATTAGGATCAAAGGGTGAATTAATCAAGTTTACAATAAAAATTTTAAAGGCTTATTTTTAAAAAGAAAAAAAAAAAAAGCTATGTGTTCAAGTTAATTCAGGCAAATGACTAAATGTGTGTGGATTTCATTAAAGAGAGTGGTTATGGATGTCAATACAAGAACTATTTCATATATGAAATAAATGAAATATTTGTTTCTTCCTCCCCAAAAATACCATATATATATATATAAAAATTGTTAAAAGCTAAACAAGGTTTCACTTGAGGTTAAATTTTTTTTATTTAATTTTCTGTGTTCTTAGAATTTTCTTCTTTTCTAGACGTAAATTATGTAGAAATTTTCCAAATGTTTTGTATATCCGAGCACTTTCGGGTATACTTTTATCCATCATCAAGAATGATTTTATTTTTACTTTTAATTGAATGTATGTATTTTATGTATGTATTTAGAGTTAGAGGAATGTTTTATTTTCCAAACACGGTCAGCACATTGTGGCCATGTTCATAGTTGATGTTATTGAATGTTGGTATATTTCTTTTTACATTAATTATATTCCATTATTTTTAGCCTTTTTTGACATGTTGAAGTGGCTATTACGTTTCAATTATCAACAAGTATGTAGCCTGATAGAGTTTGCTAGGCCTCTGTCTATTTAAATGAGACATAAAATTGAGCTATGGTGAGAGAGAGAGTGGTAACATGAGTTTTCTTGGTAACTATAAAAATTTCATTTAAATCACATATATATATATATTAACTGTAGGTCTGATGAATTGGATCGGATTTATTAGGTTATTCCAAAATCATAAATTATGATAATGGAATATTAGTTTAAAATTTTTTTTTATATATATATATATTTTATATATATCTATATATATATGATATATATATATATATATATATATATGTATTTATTTAATAAAAAAAAGACCACTTTTATGGTTCCATGTAATAAATTATTTCACCACAGCCCTTTTAAAGGGCTCTGGATCATCAGACTTTACTTCCAAAGGTTGAAATTTGAAATGAAAAAAATTACACATTTTTGACTGGCCGTATTAAACTATTTAAATTAACAAAGTAAGGAAGGAGAGAAGACATGAGTGAGTTAGATGTACCATTTCAGTTCTTTATCCTTAACTCACTTGGTGTGGGCCAGACATCGCTTAACTTAATGTATGTTATCTCTAGATATAGATGGGTAAGGGTGAAGAAGAAATTTTTAAAAAGGAAAAAAGATACAATAAAATAAATCATGAGAGAAGGTTTTTTCAATTTTTAAACGCTGTTATTTTTGCATTACTTTAAAAGGGTATATTTGGGGTTAAAGTTTGATATAAATCTAAATGTCAACAAAATTAAAGTTACGAAGAATTTAATTTTTATGTTTGTTGAAGTTTTTTTATTTTTTTATGAAATAGTCGATTGGAAAAAAATTCATAAAAGTGCATTGAAAGGATAAATTCCTTTTACATCTAGTAATCTTTTTTATTTGCTTAAACTTTTTTCTTGTTGATTATTAAGTTGACAACTATCCATTTGACTTTTTTTTTCATAAATTAAACCCTTCACTGTTTTTAGATATTCCAATTTAAATAATTTTATCGTGTTTAATTTTATTAGAGGATATATACTTCAATTTAAAAACTGGTCTGTTTTATTCAAATTTATTTGATCTGAATTTACATTGAGCTCTCTGGATATCATCCTCCTTGGGTCTAAAATAATGGATTAAAATTTTGAATAAACTAATATATGTATATATATATAAAAACAAACAAGAAAACAAAACCCAAAGTGGACATTGTGTCAACACTGAGTGTAAAGTCTGTTTTTATGCTTAAACGCAAGAAATTACATTTCGGTTCCTGAGAGTTACTGGATGTGGAATCGATTTAAAAATTGATGATTCCTAAAGAGATTTTGCATCTATATTTGCCTGTTCCACAAATTAGTGGTTCTTTGGGTATGTTAACATTTTGAGTGGAACTTCTTCCTTACAAGTGGAATGCAGAGAGAGTGAGAATAATGGGGACTTGGTTTTTTTTGTTTTTTTTTTAATTCTGTGTTTTTCTTTCATTCTTTGTTGGGTTGATATTATGTTTATTTTATGGTGTTTATACATATGTCTCAATTTTTGTGGACATCATGAGTTTACATGTCTGTTTAATTGATGAAATGTTAGTGTAATTTAAGTGTGTATTAAAAATTGGGCATATTAGTGTATTTTGAATGCATGATAAAAATGACACACGTTACCAGTAAATGTATAATACTTCATTACATTACCTGCCAATGATATTGCATTCATTAAGTTTATGTTTAACGAATATTGGTGACTTTTAAAAGGTGCGTTTTATGATTGGAAGATCAAACTGTACCCTTTATTTTGTCCATGTGCCATTATCTCCCTTTAAATCAACATTCCAGGTATTGAACTCGGAACCCTTTGGTTCAAGTCACTGGATTCAACCAATGCTTTTATCCACTGGGCTATGTTTTTTGGGACTTATAAACTTAATGTCTCATTAACCATTTTTACCAGAGTTCATATTGCAATTTTGTTCTTATTGCTGTATTAGCACTTTTTATTTACCATTCCCATATTTTATTCATTTCTATGCTTGGTCATATTAGGAGATTTTTTTATAACTATATATATATATAATTCCTTAAGTTTCCATATTTTCCAGTGATGTTCTCTGAAAGTGGCAGGGGGACAGTGATCTCCCTTTTTCCTCCATATGTGGTCAGCTATGCCTGATTTTTCTATTTCCCCCATTTTAAATTTTTTTTTGATGTTTTTGCAGTCTTCAGGAGGCAGCCTGTTTCTCTTTTATATTTCTTACCACAGGATGACATACAGTACTTAGTCATGTTCTCCTCTGTGGTGGTTCCTTTAATATAATTTTTCTTGAAAGAGGTGTTCATCTAATCCTTAATTGTTGAACCATATTTATTTTAATGGTTGTTCTGATGTTATATGGACCACGGATCTTTTGAATTTTTTCCAATAATCCTTTCACATAGAGTAAGCAAACCGAAGCTGTTTTCTGAGTGTTGTTATCCTCTTGTATCCTTCTATCCCAGTTTGTCAGAGCTGCTGCCATGTGCCCAGGGTAATTGTTACACTGTAGCCTACTGCTTATATTGACCATTTGTTCATATGTCTCTGGATAGCCACATGACTTTTGCTCAATATTGTAAAGAGCAGACAATTCCTTTCTTTATACTGTATGGGTGGTGGGAGGTGAAGTTGAGGTATTGTCTGGTTAATGTTGTTGTATGGTATACGGATGTCTTGAGCTCATTCTCTGCTCGAGATATTAGTACATCTAGGAATGCGAGTTTGTCATTTTCTCTCTCCATTGTGAACTATTGATGATCTTATTGAGTTCACATGGTCCAGTCGTAGCTGGACTTCTTCTTGGTGTGGCCAAAGTATGAAGGTGTCATCTACATATCTCAGCCATAGGGTTGGTTTTAGTTAGGTACCTCCACGAGATCACTAAAAAAAGAGCATAGCATGATGAAAAAGACGCCAAACTTGACGAAAACAAAATTTTATCGTCTAAATGTTTGTTATTATTATTAGAGGAAAGGTCAAAGTATTTTTTTTATATTTTTTTTCCATTTTTAATCGTTCCTAGCACGTCCGAAATTTTCGTTAAAAAATCTAGTTTTTTTTTTGAGTCAGCAAAATTGACCATTTTTTTTCCATTTTAAAAAAAAATGAAAATCTGACTTTGAAATTTTTTTTAAATATCAATTATCATTTTTTCAAAACTTATTTTAAGAAAATCAGAAATTATAATGTTTATTTAAAATATTTTGAACCAAACTTAACTTAGCTTTTGTGCCAAAAAGATGTAATTTGAAAATAAAACAAAGCAGGTCATAAACTTTCGCGTCTCTTGACTTGTGATGAATGATATATTCCATATTTACGGATTCCATGAGGCTAATTTGTTCTACGGAAGGAGAAAAGTGAAATAATTTACATTTACGTGAACAAATTATTTACCCCGTTATTTTTAACGAAAACTTTCAGCGGTCTAATTTTTTTTTTTTTTTTTTTTTTTTTTTTGTACTTAGCTTTCACCTTTACGTTTATGATGCTTTATGGGAAATATATTGTAAAGAAATTAAAATAAAACTGTTAAGAGTGACATTAAATTTCATATTTCTTAAGAAAGGTATCTAATTAATTTATAGGTACCTTTCTTATGAAATTTTATCAGAATTGTACATAAAATACTATAATTTTATGTACATTTATTACATTCTACTGTTATTTGTATTTGCATTCATTTTATTATTAATTTTGATATTTCATTTATGGAAAAATGTCGTAACTGAGATTAATATAAAAATAAGATCATATAAATTTCATAAGATGATACTGATACTTGTAGGTACCCTTCTCAGTTGAAATTGAAAAATCAAATTAACTTCTCCACACGTGTTTCGCAAAAAGTAAAGGCCTTAACAGCGGAGAACAATGCTTAACTCAAATAACGCAACTTAATTATATTCTGGTTGGTCTTCCGTATTTTATAATTACAGCTCGATTATAAACACAAAATTACATTTCTTAATTACTGGGGATCTTCTGATTAGTCAAAATGATACAATTTACAACGCGCTAAAAAAGATCTATCTCATAAGGACACTTATGAAAGCCGATGCGGCTTTTAACTAATTTTATAATATTTTAACAACTTAAATGTAAAATCTATTATAATTAATAAAATAACAAATAATTGTATTAAAAATTCATTTTTCATCGAAAAAAAATTTTTTTTCAGAAAATATTGTCCATATTCATAAAAACAACTAAAAGCAAATAAAAGCATTTGAAATTAAATAATATATTTGTTTTATTGAGTTTTGTATGTTACAATTCAGAGCTGATTTTCAGGTACTGCGTATCCAATTAAAAAAAAAAAAAAACATGATTTGCATTCCTCAAAGCCCTGTGCTTTTAATTATTGTAATCACTAAAACCGATGCGATCAAATTTCTAGCATTTTCATAAAATTAGTTATGGGGGTAATAAATATTTTAAAAAAAATATTTCTACCATGACTTTCATAAAAAAAAAAATATTTATAATAATTTCGATCATCTGTGAATAGTTCCTGAAAGTTTCATTAACATCCGATAATTATTTCTATTTTTGCACGATTTTTCAAATTAATGTGTCATACCAAAAAAAAACGTGCTAAAAATTGTCTATGTTATTTACTAGTTCCGCTGATACAAATAGAAAAAAGGTTTTTTAATCAAAATTTAGAATGTTCTAAAAAAGAAAAAATTTTTTAAAAATATTAAAAAAAAACTTTGATCTTTCCTCTTAATAATAACATAAGCATTTAGACAATAAAATTTAGTTTTCGGCAAGTTTGGCGTCTTTTTCATCAAGCTATGCTCTTTTTTTAGCGATTTCGTGGAGGTACCTAGTTTTAGTGGTGTGGATTCTAATACCATTTCTTCAAAGTATATGCATATGTTTTGCCATTGCTGGTGATAATCACAAGCCTTATTGCTAAGCCTTCATCCTGTCACTATATATCTGATCCCATTCCAAAGTGTGTTGTTTGTGTACAGAAAGTCAGCATCTCCATCAGGTTATATATTGGTATACTGATCTGTTCTCCCAGGGATGAGTTTAATCGTTTCATGTTCTTTCAAATTCGTTTTATTTATTCATTCAAAACTTCAAAACTCTGTCTCTACAATTTTATTAAAAATTTAACACTGTTTTAATAAATAAATGCAAGCATAACTATGTATTCCTAAAAATGGGGATACATATATTTGTTATATTTGTTTTTTACGAACATTTTAATGTGTCCTCTTTATTTCTTTTGTTTCAAAACGGGGAAAAGTTAAATGTTTTTAAATTAAAAACCTTTTTTATATAAAGAAAATTTGTGATTGAATATTTTCCTAATTTTCAAACACACTGGTAGCTTTGGAGAAGAGTAGTTAGTGGCCATATCTTATTGCTAAGGTGGACAGGGAGGATAGACAAATCAAGAAATGTGTGTTGGTAGAGAAATTTGAAGATGTAAACATTTCTCATGCAACATTCAAAGAACTCTTTTCTTACATCAAAACACTTTACAAAAGAACTTCTTTGCAACAACTTTCATTTCCTCTACACACATTTGACTTTCATAAACTTTACAACATTCTAAATGCTTTGTAAGCTTGTTTTATTATTTGCTAAACTTGAATTGTTTTAATTCTCATTTCTATCTTCTCCAATTTCTACACCAACACCCAATTATCTGCTGATTTGTCTGTTTCCCTGACACACCACTGTATCCATTTTTGCAATAAATTAAAGTCGTCAGCTTCAGGGCCTCTCCAACAAAAATATCCAGTGTCTTATGTTCTTCCGAATATAGATTTATAGCTGCATTATCTTTGCCTTTGTAAAAGTTTTAAAATTTAAAGAAAAAAAAAACTCATTTAAACATTAGCACCTTGTAGGTGACTATTTTTGCCAAGCAAAATATTATTCCTGCCAGTGCAAGTTGAATTTTAATTTCTTGGTTGTCATATCTTTCTATAGTAACACCTAAAACAATCTTTACTGAAATTGAGAGCCAGGCTACTGCAATTTCAAATATTTAGAACTAATGTATAAAACACTATATTTTGAGGGGATTCCATATACAGTAGAAGGGTGAAGTAATGATGCAGAATGCTAAAATGCTAATAAAATATTAATTATTATTATTTCCAAAAATATATTTCTTCATATTTTTTGTCAACTTTGCTGAAATTATTTGTGTGCCTGATATGAATAAGTAACACATTACTTATATAGAGTGAGTCACTTTTGATTTCAGCCTTGAAAGCTGGATCTGCTCTCTCTCTCTCTCTCTCTCTCTCATGCTGAGTGATGCGGGAATCTAAAATTTATGTTAAACCAGAGCAGAACGATTTTCTGATGATTTATATGCAGAAGATAATACATTATTTGTTTCCATAAGGTTGACACAATAAAAGATCACCATTTGACAAAAAAGACTTACAAAATGTCACCTGCACTAAAACAAAAGGCAATTACAACTTTTGTGACATCTAATGAGATACAAAATTTTTTTGTCCTACATTTTTTATTTTAAAGATGTGCACTTTGGCTGACATCTTCCTATAGAAAATTGACAATTATGCCACTTATATCGAAGCAATGCTCGGAAGAAGGTGCTATTGCAAGTGTTAAGTGTGTTAGGCAACATCACCTGCCTAGTTTATTTGCTTGTCATTTGCTTTGCCCTGAAAGCCAAGGTTACCAATGAACCTGTCTGTGTCATAGCAAATGAAACCACCCAATGCCTGCATTTTGAATGCGATTGCAAGCATTTGTTTCTTGCTAATGTTGTAACCACAATAGAATGGAACCATCAAGCTGGCATTTGTATCAGATTCAGTAGTATATTACAAGAAGCCTCATAGGGGAGTGTTATCAAATGTGTTTACCAACAGTTACTATGTGTTGTATTCAGGATGCATTTAAAATTTTCTAGTGGAATATCTTCATATTAGCCAGCATTTGATAATGTTGCCCAGTTTATTGCTATCTTTATTTCTGGATTTGAATTTATTTTCATTTGTTTTAATTTTCATTAAAGATATCTGCTATTTCATTACATGTCTTAAAACATTGAATTTTGCTTTTCTTTTTCCTGTTTTTAACAATTATGGTAATAAAATTATTGGAAGGAAATACATTTTTTTTACCAATTTTTGTTTTAGAATAATAAACATTATGAATAAATTTTACTTTACATCAAAAATTAGTTGTAATTCTTCTCTCTTTTGCATTTGTCTTAGATTCTGATTCCAATGAAGATGACATTGAGATTTTACCAAACCTGCAACTAAAACTGCCAGATAAAGGGAAAAAGAAAGACAAGTCTGCCAAAAAAGTTGCTAATCTGAAAAAAGAATTGGTAAGATAATCTTTTTTCTATCAATTGGTAAGATAACCTTTTTTTTTTTTTTTTCAAACGTTTCGCCATTGTATGTCTTATTTCTTCATGAATTGGAATTACAACTGAACCCTTTATTTCACTACTAGGGTAGACTGTTCTAGTTCCATATTTGATGGATGTCAGTTATCAGTTATCTCCTGTTAATTTCCTCTGAAAGTTCTCCACTGCCTAACCGGATATTGAACTCACACTTTTTGGGTACTGTCACTGATCTAAAAACGCCTTTATCCACTGTGCCATGTGTCATTGGGTATGTTCCATAAATTTCAGATATTATAAAAAATATTCAAAACCATTTTTACCAGTAAAATGGTTGCTGAAGACATTAGGGTTTATAATACCCAGAAATGACAGGACCCAAAGATATATAGTTCAATATATATATTAAGGCAGTGGAGAACTTTCAGAGGGAAATTAGCAGGATTTAACTGATAACTGACATCCATCAAAATATGGCAATGGGAACTAGAACAGTCTACCCCAGTGAGCAAAAATAAAGGTTCAGTTCTAGATTCCAACCACCTGAAGAAGGCCGGAATATAACAGCCAATATCATGTAAATATATATGGCGACAAAGATGAGGACAATAGTCCGAATGATGTAAATAATGTACTTAAAACATTTTTTTTTGTTTTCGGATTTAAGTGCGATCATTAGGTAAGGCTTTTGGAGGAGGGGGTTCCTCTAAATAAATGATTACTGTAATTGCCAGGGAAAAGATTTTAAAAAAAAAAAAAAATAAACATTAGGAAAGAAATTTTTTTTCCTATAACTTATTTGGGTAACTTTTGTCATCAGAAACTTTTAACGATGTAACTTTGATCTGAGAAAAACTGAAGACAGAGATCAAAAATGTGCTGAAACCAACCAATGCAATAGTCTGAAAAAATATATTAAATAATGAGAAAACTTCATCTCAAGACTCCAGGCAATACAGAAAAGCAGAAGAATATATCGGCTGAAATCGTGGATTAAAAATAATCCATGGAATAATTCTTGAAAGATACCTTTACCAATCAATCACTTTCTTATTTTTAAACTGAAGATGAACAATGGTTGTTTTCTGTTTTGTTAAATTATCAAATAGAAATAATACTTTTTTCTCTTCTTTTTTCTTTCAGTTGCGGCATATACGCAATAAGAATAAAATTCATGTGCATGGTCAGGATGTTGCAAATCCAGTAACCAGTTTTGACCAATTGAATGAGGAGTTTAACTTACATCCACGCATTTTGGAAAACATCCAAAAATCCAACTACACAAACCCTACTCCAATCCAAATGCAGGCCATTCCAGTCATGATGCAGGTATATTTGCTTATATGCTCCTTAATAAATCTTTTTTTTTTTTTTTTAAAGAGAAAATTTTCAAACAAAAATTGGGGATCAACTTATGTTTTTATCCATGAACAACTCATGGCATCAGTCATGAAGGGTATTTATGAGTTACAATGATGGAAACATAATTGAGTCTTCAGCAGCTGAAGTTCTCTAACTTGGCACAGACTCACTTAGATTATATGCCAATTTTATCATATAGATGTGTGTGTGTGTGTGTGTGTGTGTATATATATATATAAAAAACTGATACCTTTAGTTAATGACCGTTTTCACCTACAAATTTTGATTTTAAAATTTGCAAGATTTTTCAAACTGTTTCTGGTATCTTAATTCCAACTGTAAAGAAAATTTTACTCTGTTCAATGAAAATAAACATTGAGCACTCTATTGTGAGTCAGTTTTAACATATTTCAAATTTTTATGTTTTGTTAATAGGGCTCACCTGGATTATACCAGTAGATTACTACCTGTGTGTCTATATGTATATATAATATATAGTTATCCACAGACAGGCTGTTTCACAGCTGATTAGTGTGGCTAGATATTCAATTGCCTCAAGCCAGGATTGAAACCCAACTGATTTGGTATCAGTCAGAGATTCTTCCCCTAAGCCATTGGCCCATGGCTGAGATGAAGGTGAATTTAGACGTATTTATTTTTCAATAAACATGTCAGTGACTAAGAGAACACTCTATTCATCTTAATGAAGAGTATTATATATATATATATATATATATATATATATATATATATATATATATATATATATATATATATAAATGAGAGAGAGAGAGAGTATTAATGTGAGTAAAGTTTGTCACTTAGCTGATTTATGTTAATTCCAACATCTCAACTCCAGAGTTTTATAGACTAACCTGTCCGTCCATTCTTCAGGGGTATCTGCAATTTCTTGCTTATATATATATATTTTTTAATGTATATCTGACAGTGGTGTAAGTTTTCTTCTGTATTCTCTGTGTACATGTGCACATCCCTGTGGATATGCATTCGCTCGCATGCACCCATTTGTGTAGATGTGTATACATGTAGGAAGTTGTGATCATTTTGCCCTTTTCTTTGTTTTTTTTTTTTTTCCCACATTACACTCAATTATTTAGCCATCTTTTTATTTTTCCAACTATTGCTGAATTTGTCTGGGTTTGTTCCATCTTTAGAGATGTGACTAATTTTTATTTATATAGCCAAAGGTTTCGGTGAAAATTCTTTGATATTACAAGCATATTCTATTCAGAATGATATATTTGTGGAAATGTAATATTTTTGCTTAAAAACAAACAAATTCCTGAGGAAAAAAGAATGATATCAAGTTAAACAAAAAAAAAGCCAATTTTAATTTTCTTTTGGCTTACTGCATATTGTGTTGAAATACTGGTTCTTGTTCATTTACCAAAGTTAAGCAACACCAATCCTGGTCAGTACCCAAATGAGTGACTGCTTGGAAATATCAGGTGCTGTAAGCATGGATGTGCAGATGGTGTAATAGCTAATGGTTTGGAATGAGAAATTGGAGTGCCAAGTTCAAATTTCAGTTGTGCTTGTTACATTCACTTTGATGCAAGTAAAGGTATAAACTCATTTCTTTCTCCCAGCTATAGGTTAGATTGTATTACTTGTATCTGAAAATCATTATTATCACCAAGGTACTATTAATACAATATTCACTTGTTTAAAAAATAAAATCATTTTTACACTACAAAAATGTTTCAGCTTTAAATAATTTACAAACAGTTGATAAGCTGCAAAAAAAAAAAAAATCAATCACTCAATTCACTTTCTTTTATTATCCAAGAAATGTTAGTTTTACTTTATTAATTTTTTTTATAGTTGTTTGTTTAAACTTGTTTAATCACCTACTTGAATTCCTCATTGATCTTAGTCAAGATCATAAGAGTCTGTGCTGCACTTAATTGTGACCTCCATAATGTTTTCCATGGCTGTATAACATGTACCCCACTAGAGCTACCTATGGTTTGGAAATCATAGTAGTCCTTCTAGGTTGGTTGCCAATCACAGAGAGCCTAGTTTGCCCTGGTATTTAACCCATAGCTAGTAGAAGAAGAGAGGAATTAATACCTTTCCCAAAGGTATGTGTGCAAAAAAAATGTAAGGAACAACTTTCTAATTTCTCATTTCAAGCTACTAACCATTACATCACTTGCACATTCAGAGTTGTTCTCCTCCTAGACTGGTTGTCAACCAAGGCTGAAGTGCCTAGTCTAACATATTGCACATCTCATTTTCGAACATGTTTTGGGAAATCTCCAGCCAAACAATTCATTTACAATGAAATTTGAAACATGATGTTTATATAATGTTATTCTCTATTGTATAAGACATTCTTAAAGATTGTCAGTGTTCGGTTTTTTAAGTTATATTAATTACTTCAACTTATCACTTTTTGGCCTTTGGCCACTTCAACCTAATATGACAGAGGGGAGAAGTATTTACTAGAGAATATTTCTTATTTGCACTAAGAAAGGAGACAGTTTCGGTATTTGCACTTTAACCATGGGATTTTTACAGAAACTTGTAATGACCTTGAATTACATTTTACTGATTTCACAATTATGGCACACTTTCATGTAAGTAAAAATTTATGTTTTTTTTTTTTTTTTTTTTTTCTTCAGAGGCGAGAAATTCTGGCCTGTGCGCCAACCGGCTCTGGTAAAACAGCAGCTTTTATTTTACCACTCCTCCATCATCTGCAGGAACCAAGAAATGCTGGTGTACGAGCAGTGGTTTTGGCCCCAACAAGAGAATTGGCCAGTCAGGTAAGTGTTGTTTAAATGTGCCCATTTAAAATAAACCTTTTACAGATTTTAAGCACAAAATTCTTTTAAAAGAAATAAATTTTTTTTTTTTTTTTCCCATTTTCAATTTGTTAATGAGACAAATTTTCAAAGAGAAAAATGTTAAAAATAATTGAAATCAAATGAAAGATTGTTAAATTCATTTCTAATGGGAAAAGCTCCAAAGCTAGAAATGCTAGAACTACAATCAAAAGCAACTGTGTGTCATTTGCACAATTTTCTAAGACAAAAAAAAAAAAAAAATGTTAAAATAATAAAATCAACTTGAGCCAGAATAAATTTATGTTAGAACTATAACATTAGAAATGCTAAATATCTGGAAATATTACATTCAGAGTCAGAGGTTGCAATATTCAATTGAGGAGGGGGGTGGTTATTGACTTGAAATGTACAAAAAAGATTCTGGATGAAAAATGTGAGCATTTGAAGATCTTGGAACCTACTTTTAAAAATCTGAAGGAATTTTGCGATATTGGAACAAGTGATGAGCAAAGATTTTTTTTTTTCTCTCACTCCAATGAAGGTGTCTACGAATTCCGAGACGTTTTTTACTGTGTTGGAGTTGCATCATTATTATACAGAAGCTGTTTCCATATATGATCATACAGTTTTTTTTTTTTGTTTTTTTTTTTTTAAACTAGCCTCTGGGTCATGATTTTGAACAGTTGGAATGTTTATTCAACTTAGATGTCAATCCAACACAGAATCAGTGAAATATTATGAAAAGAAAGATTGCCTCAATGTAAATCATCTGAAGGAAGGAATGTTGACAATTTGGACAGAAAAAAACCAACAGGGATTTGTGAGAATGTTTTGCAGAGTATCAAGGCAGTATTTAAAAACAAATACTTTCTTTATAAATACTAATCATTCATTGTAGGTGAAAAAATATTTTTTATCTAGGAAGTCTTTTTAAGGATAAAGATGACAATATTTTGAAAGAAAATCTAACTTTCAGGGTTTTGTGTGAGGTTAGCAAACATTTGCAAAATACTGTACATAATAAAAACAAAACAAAAAAGTCTTTGATTTTATTAAATATGATTCTCCAGGGTGAAAATGGCTTATAGAATAAAAAGCTTTCATTTTTTTTTTTGTTTTGAAGAGTGATAAGTCTAACTAAACTTCTACTGCTGCTTAATAGAATCTCCTCTTTGGCAGATATACCAAGATTTCCAGCGTTTGTCTGAAGGCCGAGGATTTCGCATACAGTACATCCACAAAGCTAATCTAAAGAAATTTGGATCAAAAACTTTCAAGAAAATTGGTATAGTTACTTTTTTTTTTTTTTTTTTTTTTTTTTTTACTTCCTTTTTTCCTTTTTTTTTTTTTTTTTTTTTTCTTTTTTTTTTTTTCTTTTTTTTTTATTCTTTTTTCTCTTTTTTTTTCCCCTTTTTTCCTGTCTTTCATTTATTAGGTTTCATTTATTTCAGTCTTTCTTTTATTAGGTTAGAAAAAATGGTTCTGTCACATTTGAAGATGGCAAAGTAACAAAATTGATTTAATCCAGATAATATTCCCCTTCATTAGTGATAACATTAGAAATTTGGTGACATGGTGGTTGTGAGATCAATCCCTGAGTCAAGCAGTATGTACTTGCATTCTGTTGAAATGGTCGCACAATAACTAAACTGCTAAATAAAAATAAGAACTAGATGAGATATCCCAAGACATGAGCAGTGAAACAAGAACAGCCTGCACTGTAGATTAAATAATGGGTTCAGTTTGGAATTCCCTCTAGGTTACCCAGATTGATATACACCTGATGAAGCCCAGAGGGCACAATGGCCAAAACTTTGTGATAAAAACAACAAAGATGAGGACAATAGTCCAAATATATATAGTATAAATAATAATCCCATCCTTTTGACAAATTATTGATTCCTGGGGCATAAATTTTTTCAGGTTTTGATACAAAGGAACACTCAGCAGTTTTAACCTCTAATAATAAACAGTTTTTCCTTCTAAAAATGTTACAATGATCTGAAAAGATGATAGATGGAGCAAGATCAGGAGAGTAAGCAGGATGAGGCAAAAATTTCATATTTTGTGTCATAATCTTTTCCTTGGTGACTTGGGAAATATGTGGGCTTGCATAATCATTTTGGTACAATGTTTCCAATTGGTAACAGTATTTCTCTGCATTAACTGTTTCATTTTGGTTTAACACTTCATGATAGGCAACATCCCTCATACCCCACCAAATTCAAAGCATAACTTCTTTTTTCTTTTTTTTTCCAAGTGTACTCCTGGTTTAGATTCTCCGTTTTCAATGGGTGCTGGCTATTGTTGTTTTTGTTGGTTATGATTATAGAGAATCTACTTTTTATCACTTGGTGATGATTCTATTGGAAAAGGTTCACTCTTCTCTGACTAGCAGAGGACAGCACGTTGGTTAAGCTGAGGAACAGTCAGATGATGAGGGGAACCCATTGACCAAATTTAAATACTTTTCCAAATTCATGAAGGTGTTTTATGATCAAAGTGTGACTTTGATCATAAAACACCTTCATGAATTTGGAAACTCTTGTTTGTTTAGGATTTGTCCTCAATTACGGTTTGCAGAAGCACTATATTGCTGGAACTTGGTTGTCCAGATTAAACAGAATCTTTCAGAGAAAAGATTCCCCAATTTTAACTGGTCTAAACCAACATGGGCATGTGTGGACACTAAAAAACTTCATTTGCATAAACAATGATTGTTTCTTGTTATTTCTTGTAAAGAACTCTTCTCAAATCCATGCAATGTCTTATATGAGTCTAATATAAATTCATTTTAAAAAGGTAAAATTAATATAAAATTAAGTTATTTAATGTAAGTATTGATAAAATATGATCATATTGTCAAAATAAAATTAAGAATGTGCAGGACTTTCTATTCAATCTAAAACTTGGAAATCATGTTTAAGGAATTAAAAAAATATTTTATCCTTTTGTTCCTACTTTATTTCCCTTTTGATTTAAATTTTAATATCAAGTTTGAAACTTTTTTTTAAAGATGGCAATAACTGCTGGTGCTTAAAATTCAGAGAAAGATGGCAATAACTGCTGGTGCTTAGATTCAGAGAAACAACATAGAATTACAGATTGTAAATTAAAAAATAAAAACTTGCATTAAATTTTCTCAAATAATCACAAATTGAAATTCTTTCAACATCTGTCTATATTTCTGATATGAAATATTGTAACTATTTACATTGTTATCCTCATCTTTATTGCCATATTCACAATGTTTTGGACATTGTATACTCCATACTTCTTCATGTGAACAAAACTTGAAGAATTGAGTTACTAAAGAGCATTAACTGAAACTGAGACATCCAATGGCAAGTGGAATTGGAACAATCTTCCCCAGTAGACTAGATGAAGGGTTTGGTTCGAATTTCCAACGTTTATCACCTGAAGAAAGCCAGAGCATGCAATGGCTGAAACATTGTGAATCTAGCAATAAAGATGAGGACAACAGTCTGGACAATGTAAATAGTGTAAATTGAAATTCCTTGTGACAACTTTGTTTTTATTTTCCAATTTTAGATATTTTGGTCACCACTCCTCAGCGGTTGGTTTTCTTGCTGTCACAAGAATCAGCCATCTTGACTCTCAGCACGTAAGTCTGCTCTTCATCACCAGTTCCAGTTTCTAATTAGATTAATTCCTCAGAATTAAGTTATAATCGAAAGCAAAAAAAAAAAAAACTGACTTTCCTTGGATTGAGTTGGGATTTAAAACTAGAATGAAATTTAAATTCTCTCTCTCTTTCAGTGTTGAATGGTTGGTTATTGACGAATCTGACAAATTATTTGAAGATGGAAAAACAGGCTTCCGTGATCAGGTAAATATTAAGACACTCAGGACTACATACCTAGCAATATACTGGTTGTGTGTGAATGAAAACCCTGCCCTGATTTAAACGTCTCGCTTGAAGGTAAACACATAAATGCCATACCAATCTGGCCCTCTTCAATTTCTGTAGTTTCATTCTAAGCTTACATATCACTAGAAAATAGCTGCTCCCAAAGTCAGCACTTGGATATGTTTTACTGTATAAAACTGCATTTCTGAATCACTTATTGTTCATTATATAGTCAATCTGGGCATCTCAGTGCCCATAAGAGATTTGGGTGTTCTTGAAACCAGCTGTTGGCTACTACCTGGTCATTTGCTATGCACCATTAGTCCTATTTTTCTTCTCATTCATTACAGGTTCCTAGTTTTATTTTACCAACTATTTCAGTATCTTTCTCCTTCTCTACATTAGCCCGTCCTGTATATGACAATAAACTACATCTGCGTCCTGGATAAGACAATAAACTACGTCCAACAGCAAAGCCTCTGATCAGAAGGTTTTGAGGAGCATGGAAACCACCTTTTAATTGCTGGTGTTCCCAGGTCCACCCTGACCCGGGGTGGTAGCACCTGTTAGGGTCCCAGGTATGAGCAAATAGTTAACACCCAAAGTTGTGTAAAAATAGGTTTTAATACCAGAAATACTTTGTAATAAAATAAAAAAATTATTACTAGCAATAATTTTTGAAGGAAAAATTATCATCAGCAATACTTAAAAATACCAGTAATACAAACAGCTATACATTCTTAAGTTGGATTGTACTCAAAAATATGAGTAATTGAAAGATGGTTCAAATATGTATACATACACACCTTTTTTCCAAACTATCGCTATGAATCTATTTCAAAAATTTTGTTGGCATTAAATAACCCACTGAGGTTGATATGCCATAAAACAAAATCACCAACTTCTCTACATTAGCATTCAAGTTTCCCATGATGATTTCCCTTGAGTCTTGGTGTTGCCCAGTGTACAGTAAATATTTTCAATTTCTTCCTCTGTGTCTAGTGCTGTCAGTACAGATGAATCTTCCTAGTGGCCTCAAATGACCCATGGTCAACCTCTCAGAACATGTCACAACTGGATGTCTTGTGAGTCTTCATGATAAAAATTACGTCAACCTGCCTTGAAAACAAACATGACAGAAACTTTCAATATTTGTACAAATTGATATCAGTAAAATTCTTGGCACCAATTGAGGATTAACAAACTTTGGTCATCAACTAATTATCTGATGAAGGGAGTTCAGATGTTGAATTTCCAGTTTTTTTACTTTGCTATGGAAGACATCACAAACCATCACTGCTGTAGTGAGTTAGGTCCTACATTTGAAGGCATCCATGAAACAAAGCGAAGTTCAGAGTTACTCATTAAAACCACATTCTTTTTTAGCATTTTGTGCCAGTTTTTCTTTTATATTCATTTTGATTTCATTATCAAAATACCCTTCGATAGTCTCAACTGTTTGTGTATCAAATTAAATATCGTTTCAGTTTTTCCCTAAAACATAATCTATTCACTTTAGGTCAGTACACATCAAACAATTCTGTTTAGAGATTTTTCAACTTTATCTTTTATAGTCTAATAAAAAAAAAAAATCTTTAAAATGTTATCCTAATTTAAAAAAAAAAAAAAAAAACTAACTTTAAAATGTTAGTAGGCTAATAAAAAAAAACATTAAAATGTTAGTAGGCTAATAAAAAAAAAACATTAAAATGTTAGTAGGCTAATAAAAAAAAAACATTAAAATGTTTATGAAATAATTATTTAGATCCATTAACTCTTTAAATTGTTCTTAATGTAAGTAATACATGTAAAAAAAAAATTAAAAAAGCTAAAATATTAAAATTTAAAAAATGAAAGATCCAAAAACAAATTAGTTAAATTTTCCTGTATTTTTATAAAAATCACAATTCTATTTTTGTTTAAACAGTTCATTTCAATTCCCTTGAATAATTTTACACATAAGTGTTTGTATTAATTTCTTCCATGGTCAGAGTAACTTTTATCAGACTCTATGAATTGTGCTCTGTGCATTTATTTTCAATATAAAGAATATTAGTCTACATACCAACTATTCATAATCAAAAAAAAAAGGTTCCCCATCAAATGAAGCCCACTTTATTTCATGCTTTACTTGCTTTATTTGTGATCAATTTTTTTCTCCTTTCTTTCTTTTTTTTCAGCTAGGTACCATTTACAAAGCTTGTGATTCTCCCAATATTCGAAGAGCCATGTTTAGTGCAACTTTTGCTTATGACGTGGAGCAGTGGTGTAAACTCAATCTTGATAATGTCGTTCAAGTCTACATTGGTGGCAAGTGAGTGATTTCTTTGAATTTTACTATATTTTTTAATCTCACTCTTAGTTGAGGCTTTTCTAACATTGACTCATAAAAATTGCACATTTGAAATTATTTACTTGTGTCTCTAATTCCCAAATCATGTTCATAAAAATGGAAATAACATTTAATTGTAATTAAATGTTATTTCCATTTCGCAACATGATGACAGAATTCTGCTCATTGCTTCATTTACTATGATTTCAACTGGTCTATTCTCCAGCCATCTTAGATTACTGATGCATACACTGAAGATCCTCTTATGGAAGGAATTGTTTTTTGTTTATCTAGATTTTCCATCAGAAAAAAAAAAGTTGTCTTCTGTTTTGTTCTGTCTTTTTTTTTTTTTTTTTTTTTTTTTTTTTTTTTTTTTTTCTTTAATCTACAATCGATTTCAAATTGCTGTATTCAACCCACAAATTTTTTTTTTTTTTTTTTTCTTCTGGACCAATTTTTCTCATTTAGTGCCTTTGTATCAAAAAAACAGTAAATGTTTATTTGTTTCAACATTGTGAAGATGGCGCTTACTTTCAATAGCTTTTGAGGTGGACATGTTAACAAACATGTCCTTGAGCCAGTCCCCACTTGAGGTACACATATACACTTCAGGTCAAGATTATTTTCTCTTGGATATTGGTTCTGTTGTTAAAATGTTCTTGTTTCACCCAAACCAAACTTGGGTTAAAAGGAAATGAGGAGGAGGAGGAGGATTTTTACATTCTATGAAAAAGAAAATTTTTTTTTATGTGTTTATTTTTTTTCTCTCTCATCTAAAAGATGATCTGTTCTCCTCCACATCTACTCTATGAATAATTTTTCAAAAAATTCTATTTTTATCAACAATCTACATTGCAAGATGCTCATTTTAAAACACTCTCTCTCTCTCTCTCTCAAATGTTTTTTTTTTCTTTTTAACAAATTCTTAATAGTTTTTGTCTATATTTCTGGGATGAGGAGTTAACGTTATTTACATATAGACTATTGTCCTTATCTTTGTTGTCTTTGTCATAACGTTTCAGACATTCTGCACTCCTGCTTTCCTCATTACACTAAGCTACCACACATATATAGCCTCCCCAAGATTCACAAAGTTGGTATCCCATTGAGATCTGTAATCAGCTGCAGGAGCTTAGCCTTCCACCCACTAAGTAGATTCCAGGTGTTATAGTGGTTGTAAGTTCAATCCCTAGGTCGGGCAGTGTGTACTTGCACTCAGTAGAAATGAGCAAGCAATAACTGGACAATACTAAATAAAAATAAGAACTAGACGAGATATCTCTAGACATGAACAGGAGAACAAGAACAGTCTACCCCCGTCGATTAAATAAAGGGTTCAGTGTGAAATTCCCTCTATTTTACCCAGATGGATTTATATCTGAGGAAGGCTGAAAGGCACAATGGCAGAAACATTGTAGCAATAACAAAGATGAAGATATTCCAATTATAAACAGTGTAATTAAATTTTTAATTTCTCTAATTAAAGAAATGAAAGTGTTGATGTTCATCTCTTGTTGATATGGAAAGTTAAAACAAACAAATGGTATACAAGTAAAAAACCTTTTACAGTAATTTAGAAGAATAAACGTAATTATTAAGAGATAAAAAGAATGTCTTTAAAATGATCACTTTAGTTTGCTTATGTAAACAGAACTTTATGAAAATGTTTTTCATATTTTGAGGAGAGTGGAGTTCAAATTCCAGTTGAATCCATTACATTCAAATATGTTCTAATACCCTTGGGAAAGGTATGAATCCTCTTCTTCTCCCTCCAGCTATGGATAAATAGCAGGACAGACTGTGTTCTATAGCCTTGGATGGCAACTAGGAAGGAAGAAATGGCAACCTACTGTGGGGATGGGGAGGAAATCTGCCTCGTCAGTCATGTATCAAAAGATACAGATTGCCTAAGCATGTATCACGTATGATACACACTTACGAGATGAGACACGCTTGAAGATGAGACAAGTTTTTATTTTTTTTATTTTTCTAAAGAAACATAAAAATCCTTTTTTAGCCCAGACTGGTTGAGAAAATTTTAAGAATAATCAATGCAGTAAACAATTTCTTTTTTCTTTTAATGGCATAGCACAAGTAAATCTAATAATCTGTTTGTGCCAAGAAATTAAAACGCCTTAAGTTTCCAACAATTTTCTGATTTTTGGGTATAAAAGCAAGAGAAATAAGATTGTAGAAATACTCATCAAACATTGATGATATTTGACAATGTTTCATCTAATGTTAATAAAATCCAAGATAATAATTTAATAGTTATGTACCATTTCCAACATCCCAATAAACTGCACGGTTGGTGTAAAATGACCCATCAGAGTTGAACAAAATCTAAAATATAAACTGCAATCTCTAGACTTTAAAAGAGGTGGTAACTTAAGTTCATTATGTGGTGGTGGGGGGGCACTTTTCATTCTCCTCAATCGTGATGACTTTTATTAAGATTTCTGGTAATAGGTAGTGGGGGGGTGGGGTGATGCCTCGACCTCCAAAAAATTCAAAAATATATAACCTCAACCAGAACTCTGACTTTATTCACTCATTCTGATTCTCTAGTTAATGACCATTAAATCTCCCACCACCACCTCCCTCAGTAATTATTCTTGTGGGTTAACCCAATGTAGCTTTGCTTGTTTCACCAAAAAGTTGTTAGTTGTTGTTGAAGTCAAACAACTACAAAAATGGGACACTTTGGTCTCTTTTTCCTTCTAGCTTGCTGTAGATGTGACACTCCCTTTTTTTTTTTTATGTCCCTTAGGGATGGAACTTTTCACATGTGCTTCTGTCACCCCCCCCCCATAATTCCTAACATTTAATGTTGTCCTTCTTTTGCATGTATGCTTATGTATTTTCTCTCCTTTCTTATTCAGTTATCTATAAGAAAAAACAAATACAAAATATTGCTTAGTTGAAATTGACTTCCATTTCCTTCATTTATTCATTTATGTAAGTAAATATTGTTTGCCACAGTTTTTACACCAATGAGGAGCTGTGCCACACCATTATGAATCTTTTTCACCCCAAGCAAGGCAATAAAGCCACTTAGACACAAAGGGTTACTGAGTGTTAGAGAATACGAAAAAATTATTAGTAAGAAGAGATGATGATAAAAGAGGAAGAATTAAGAAGGCAGAAGATAATGATTAACATTGCATTTAAATTTTTGAAGATCAAAGTTTACTGAGAAGCCGGAAGAGAGTTCCTCAAATGATAGGTGGGAGAAAAAACTGTTAACACAAAACTTAGTTACATCCCACCAATTCAACTGTAAAATGATAAGACCTTGCCACCAATCTAGTACTGCACTTAAATTCATAAAGTCTAGGTATCATAGCGGAAAGTTCCTCATAACAATCACCATGAAAATGTTTATAGAACACTGATGTAAGAGTGAATGGACATGTTTTATCATTGCTCAAAGAAAGTGATGTTGTATTTTAAAAGAAAGTCATGATTGTTTTTCATTTATTCTTATTTTTTTCTTTGTTTATTATGATATTTGTTATTATGCATTTATAGTATTTAATATTTTTATAATCTTTATACATATTTGTTTATTTTTAAGATAAGTCATGGTATACATTGATATTTTTTTTTTAAATAAGTGTTATTTAGCAAGTGTAATTTATTAAGAATATCTCATATATATATATATATATATATTAAGAACATTTAATGTATTGAATTTGTTAAACTAATTATTAAGTGGCATAAATGATTTTAATCTATTTATATTTAAGCATAACATTTCTTTTTTTATGAAAGTGGGTGTCATTTTCAAAATTGTAGGAAAGCATTTCTGGTTGTAATGTTTATTTTGTTTTTTTGACTATTGGTTCATTATCACCAATTTCTTTTTCTATCATTTATACTTTAAAAATTCTTTTAACAACATTTGGCCTTAATTTTATTCCTTCATCCTTTTCTTATTTATTAATTGTAAAGTAACATATTTTCAAATTAGTTGTAAAAGTGTTTCCAGTTATAATATTATTTTTTGTTTACTACTAGTCAATTTTAATTTTCAAATATCTTAAAAAAACAATAATAATAATAATAATAAAATGTTTTCATGTATTTGAGGTTAATTTTGGACTTTTAATCTTTTTTTATTTATTTATTTTATTATTATTTTAAATCTATATATAGCAATATATTTGGTACATTTGATGACGAACTGTTTACTCGGACTTCCAGTGTAAAATATATATCTGTTTTTATGCGTGTGGGTAGAAGTGGTATCTTTGTTGCTCGGCTGCTGCACCTTATTGTCAAGGTGGCTGAGCAACACTGGTTCTCACCCATCCCCGAAATCTTTCATGTGCTGGCTCCATGCATCACACCCCAGTAAACTGCTTCAACTGACAGGCTAAACCACATGTAGGGGTAATATTTGCACTGCACTACTGGGTGGATAATCTGCACAAGCAGACAACAGCTCAATGGACTCAACAATCAAGTGCACAGACTGAAGGTGATCCACATATTAGTGGTTTTGGCTGTCAGCCAAGAACTTGGAGAGGAGATGGGCACTGTCAAGTTATCTACAAACTCACTGAAAGGATTATGAAGCAAGAGAAGCAAAATATAACTATACCGGATCAGTCAAGGCCCAGATTAACAACGACTACACGTCACATTAATTTGCTTCAGAATGGGCATGATAAGTCAGATACTGCAAAACATAGTATCAGGTTATCAATGGAAAAAAATTACAGCAGGAACCGGGAACGTCTGCACCCTATATGCCCCCAGAAGAACCCAAGAGTTTACTCATGAACTGAAACATTATCACTGGGATGTCATTGGGAATTCTGAAGTCAGATGGATTGGTTTTAGCAAAACAACTATGCAAGATTGACATAAGATTTGGTTTTCTGGAAATGAGAAGTAGCATGAGCATGGATTGGCATTTATTGTAAGGTAAGAAATTACACGGTGTCATCAGCTTTAATCCTATTTCCAGCAGACTTATTTCCATCCATGTATCAGCCAGACCATACAACATGACCATCATACAGGCCTATGCTCCAGCATTAGAGCACAATGACAAGGAATTTGAGGAATTCTATGAATTATTAGAATTTGCCTTGAGAAAAGTCCCCTGGAAAGACATGATCATCATACAAAGGGATTGGAATGCCACGGTAGGTCGGATACATACACAAACCGGGAAGGAACAGTCGGAAGATTTGACATTGGGGAGACGAACAACAGAATTTGCCAGGAGTCATCATTTCGTGCTGGCCAAAACTCTGTACCCACTTAAGCTGTTTCAAACCACAACCTAGTACTCACCTAATGAGAAGGTCCATAACCAGATCGATTTTATTTTGGTCCCACAATGCTATAAATCCAACATTAACAAGGCAAACACAAGGACATTTCTTGGTGTAAACATCATCAGCGATCATGATCTTGTGATGACACCCTTTAAATTAAGGATGAAAACTAAGCACTGTTCAAAGGACTCCTGCATCCACTTCAACCTTGAGAAACTAAAAGACCCTGAAATCACTCAACTGTTCCAGACCAAAGTTGGCAGCAAGTTTGCAGCCCCGAACCTAATTTACAGTGATGTAGACACTTTTGCAGATCACATTAAAGAAGTTTTACTCATGGCAGCTGAGGAAGTTTTGGGTAAATGGCAAAGGAAAATCCAACCATGAGTCACAAATGAAATCTTGGATTTGTGTGACAAGAGGAGAGAACTGAGAGGAAAGAAACACTCAAGTGACAAGGTCTATGCCAAATATCAGGAAGTGCACATTGATGGTAAGGAGAAAAATGTGTGAGCAGCTAAAGAGGAGTGGGTACAAATTAAGTACAAAGCCATTGAGAAGGATATTCTTACTGGCAATAACAAACAGGCCTACAATACTGTCAAATCCCTCACTAAGACCAGCCAACAGAGAGCAATGGTCAGAGAAGATAAGAATGGTAAATTGCTGATGAACAATGAGGAGGAGGTCCTCTGTAGATGGACTCAATACTGTGATGGTTTATACAATTACCAGCTACATCCATATTGCAAAGTGACCAGCACTCCACAGAAGAAGAAACGAGTCTGTCAATACTGAAAGAAGAGGTTAAGTTGGCAGTAAAGAGCATGAAACATGCCAGAGTGGATAATGTTCCCTATGAGCTGATAAAACATGGAGGTGAAGAAATCATCAAAATCATAACATTATGCCAGGAGATTTGAGAGCAAAAAAAGTGGCCTAGCAAGTGGACTCAGTCATTGGTCAATTGTCAAAGAAAGGGAGCCTCAGAAATTATAGATGATCCTAGTAAAGTCCTGCTCCATATCATCTTGAATCATTTGAAATCCAAGGCTGAAGAACTGCTACCAGAAGAACAAGCAGGTTTTAGAACCGGATGAAGATATAATGGAACAGGTCTTATATTGTTGGATCCTTGTAAAGAAACACCTGCAACATCAGAAAGACATGTTCCACAACTTTGTTGATTTCAAGAAAGCATTTGATCATGTATGGCATGACGGTCTTTGGCGAATCTTTAAGGAATTCAATGTAAATAACAGAATTATCCAAGTCATCCAGGCCCTGTACAAAGATGCCACCAGTGCAGTTCTTCTGGAAAAACAAATGGGAGGATTCTTCTGGACAACTATCAGCATGAGATAGGGATGTGTACTTTCATTCACATTGTTCAACCTATTTCTAAAGAGAATCATGCAAGAAACTTTGAACAACTATGGTCCTTCAATCTCTATCGGTGGCAGACTCATTTGTAATTTACATTTTGCAGATGATATTGACCTCATGACAGGTAGTAACAGTGAGCTTCAGGACTTGACCAAGAAACTTTTTGAAAGAGCAGGAGCATATGGTATGGAGGTCAGTTCTGTGAAATCTAAAGTAATCATGAATAGCACAACCAGTAACACCTGGGTTAACATCACCATGAACGGGAATTCATTTGAGGAAGTCTCCAGTTTGAAATATTTGGGAGCAATCTTGTCTAAAGTTGGTACCTGCAACTTGGAAATCCACACACAGATTGCTGCAAGCATTGCAGCGATGGCTAAATTGACAAGAATATGGAGGAGTAAAATCAGCTTTAAAAAAAAAAAATATAGACTTTACAAATCACTGGTAGTCTCCATTCTCCTTCATGGATGTGAAATGTGGACACTGTTGGAAGAAAGAGTGAGAAGAATCCAAGCGTTTGAGGACAAATGAATGAGAAAACTCCTTGGCATCTTCTAATGGGAACATGAAACCAATGAATTTGTGTGGAAAAGGGTTGAACGTTTTGTGAGACACCAAGAACCTCTTCTTGCCACTGTCAAATGGAGAAAAATGGCGTGGTTTAGATACATTACAAAACAACACAGCCTGTGCAAGACCATCATACAAAACACTGTTGAAGGTGAACATAGGAGTGGACGCCATCATAAAAACTGGTTAAACAATATCAAACAATAGACAGGTATGACTTTACCAGAATTGCTGATGGCTGCCATTGATAGACCATTGTGGAGGAGATTTAATGTGGCTCTTGCATTCGGATCCGCCCTCCAATTACAAAAGTCAAGGGGATGATGATGATTAATAGAAAATACACAGGGAAGCTATGTTACAGCAGTGGGAAAGTGATTGAAGCCAAATTGTCAGATTCTTCATTGGATTTTAACAAGAATCTCTAAATATACAGTAGGAGCACCAAACAAGGTGTGGCAGCAATATTCAAAGCAAGGATGGATGGTCAACTTATAAATATATAAGATAGTTTCTGGAGAGAAAAATTGTCTAGCGCGGCATTGTGAATCAACTTTCCTAGCAGCAGACCTAGCAATAGATTCAATATAATCATAACATTTCATGTCATTGGAAAATGTTAACATGAGAAAGCGCAATGGGTCCTGGAGGTTAGCATCAGCCATGAGATGGAAGGCAGAAAGGACTCTCTCAGATGATTGATGGAGAGCAGTTTTGGAGGTGTCAAAATTAACTTTACCCAAGTTAACAGCAGAATGTAGGTCATTTTTGAGATCAGCTACCAATTCGACGGTAGAGATTTTTTTTATTGTGTACGTCTCTCTGAGACAAAAATCTTTTTTAACTTAATTCTTTTACTAAACTGCTTTTGTCTAATAGACTCAGCTTGTTTTCCAGTGTCCAATTTAAATGTTGACTTTTTGATTATGTTAAAAAGGGATGTAAAACTTTTTAGTGACCGTTGTTCCACTCTTGGAACATATTTGCGACCATGTCTGGTCAATAAAAAGGTTAAATCAGTGACATAAAAAAATGCTTTTTTATTTATTTTTAAGGAACATGGCAACAACCACAATTGATCAACAATTATTATTTGCCGGCACAGAAATTGGGAAACTTTTTGCAATGCGGGAAATCATCCAAAAGGTTAGATTTTACACAGTATGCTAATTCTTCTTACCTGGAGTTTTCTATGGATATTTCTTTCTTTATTTTTTGTCTTTGATCATTCATGCTCTTAATATAACGTATTGGCCTTCTCTTAATTGCTTCTTATATTTGATATTTATAAACACGTAATATGTTACCTGAAGTGAGCCGGAGACTCTACCATCCAAAACATAGTATTAAAAAACAACAAAGATTCTAATCTGGATAATATTTGAAATAATCACAATTCTCTTTGGAGCAAATTCTGTTGGGTGATAGCCTGGTTGAAATTGACATGATAATTGAAATAAGAAAATGTATATTTTATGAAACATTTTATAAAAGCTTTAAAAATGTATTTATGGGGATTTGTTTTTAGAGAGGATTTTATAAGATCATCATTCTAATCAAATAGGAAGACATGCTGAAAAGTTCTTGGCTTAACCCACTTCCCAAAATTTAACCAAATATTTTTTTTTTTTTAATCCCTTCTTGGTTGGTCTGAGAAATTTTCAGCACCCTTTTGTCATAAGCAAAATTGACATGGAAAGACTTAATTTTTAGAAAAAAAAAATCAGATTTAATTATCAGCTACTGAAATTGACTTTATGATGCCCCTATTTTTTTTTCTAGGGGTTCAAGAAACAGTTATAAATTTTTTTTTTTCCTTTCTCTAGATTGTAGTTTAAACATTGAACTTGGATTGGACAAACAAAAATAATTTTATGAAAACAAAATTAGATGCAATCAATCCGATTTTCTTTCCAAATTGATGTTTGTCTTTTAACATTAACATCTGCTATTTTCTGTTTTTAATGTTTTGGTTTTGTTTTTCACAATTTTGGATGTGGGGGTAGTGTAATTTATAGCATCTCTGAATGAGAATATAGAATTCCAGTTGGTTTCATCACATTCACTTATGCACAAGTAACTTTGGGAAAAGGATGCGTCCATCTCCTTTCTACAGCTATGGGTCAAATAGTAAGACTGAAACATTGTTATTTTCCAAAAATAGTTAATGCTATACTCATTTACAAAAAAAAGTCCTGGGTATGATGATAAACTACATCCGGCAGCAAGGTTCTAATCTGGAGACAGGAGGTTTTGAGAAGAATAAAACCACCTCTAAACTGCTGTTGTTCCCAGATCCACCCTGATCCACTGTGGTAGTACCTGTTAGGGTCCTAGATAGGGACAAATAGTGAACCCCCAAACAAAATTCTATGAAAGTATAAAAATTTCTTTTATAGTAAAAATACCAGCAATGCATTTTTATATAAGAATTTACCAATAATACACAAATAGTAACAAATTTTAGTGACTTTACCTAAATCCAAACAACCAACATGAAATAACTCTTTCATGACATTAGTCCATATAATATCCGACAATTCCTTAAATCAAACTTTATTCCAAAATATAACTACAGCAAAACACATCACTGCTTGTAGTAATTATGTCCACACAAACATGTATATGCACAACAGCTGAGTATTATCTGCCATATATACAATTGTGAAGGCAGAATAACATATTTTTATTACCTCCAAGCTCCCAAGGAAATAATAATTACAATCCAAAATATGCTTTGACCTTAAATAACATATAAAGAGTTGATAAACCATAAAAAACATCAATATTTATTTTCCATAATTTCTTAATAATCTGGTTAACTATTTTTCTAATTAACCATTGATTTTGTCAGTATTGAGTCTTTTGTGCAGTCACTTCTTTAATTTCAATGTTTGGTTCTAATCTTAAAGGGCATCGAACCACCAGTCCTGATTTTTGTGCAGTCCAAAGAACGTGCCAAAGAATTATTCCAAGAACTCATTTTTGATGGCATCAATGTCGATGTTATCCACGCAGGCCGTACTCAGATTCAGGTAAGCTTTGATCTTAATTTTATTTGCAGTGACAATCAAGGTGTGCATCTTGAACTACATTTGACAGCCGAAAGAATTAAGGATGTCACTTGAGGAGAAAAGAGATGCTGTATGATTGCCAAGGAATGGAACGCAGTCTCTATTGTCTTTGACTTTGTATTAACATCGAGTTCAGTTGGTACCTAGACGGTGGGAGGCTTGGGGAACACCTAGTAGTGTAAGAGACCTCCTACAATCCGAAATCAGTTTGGGCTTTAAATAACCTACAAAAGGTTGATAAACCATAAAAAAAACAATTATCCATCCTCAACGTGCTGGGAATGAGGATCTAGATATTGTCATAATGCTTCACCAATTCATAGAGTGAATCTAGGGTCACTTTGTTTTAAATTAGCTAAAAAAAATAAGTGTTTTCCATATATTGTATCTGTAGAAGTTTTACAATTATTAACATATCCATTAAGAGTTTTTCGCTTTGACTAAAATAGTGGATTTCTTTATTTCTGAATACTCACAAGACAACATTCTCTATGTGTTATCTCTCTTCAAGGCATGGCTCTCCATAGCTTCCTGTTTTAATACCTACAAATTGCTCTTGGGATAATTAGTGTAGTGGCTTCCCATTGCCATGCTCATGTTTTTGAGTTTAACATTATCCTTCTCCTACACTCATTCAGTCTATTGGATGATTATTGTCATACGACAATAATCATCCAATACAAGCAAATGTAAACAGATAAATTTGTCGCATGTTTGTCTTTTTAATTTTGAGTCATTTCTCAAGTTCCTCTTACTGTCTCATCTTATTTCAATAATCAATTGATGGTCGACTTTCATGGGAGAAAGTTATTCCTGTAGATTTCTGGTTAATGATGCCATTCAATTGACATTTCAAAATGACATTAATTTAAGATTATTCTCACGATCATGGCTAAGCCCTCAGTGAATGTCTTGTCTGACTCACCTGATCCCTGCCAACTCTGACCAAATGTCTTTACCCACCTACCTGATCTCTGTCAACCCTGACTGAAGGTCTTGCCCCATCAACCTAATCCTTGCCAACCCTGATTGAATGTCTTGCCCCATCCACCTGAACCCTGCCAAACCTGACTGAGAGTCTCCCGCCTACTCACCTGATTCCTGCTAACCCTCAGTTACCTGATATTGATAAACATTCTGTCTTACAGCGTGAAAATGTTGTGAAAAGTTTCCGCGAGGGTAAAATCTGGGTTCTTATTTGTACTGAGCTGATGGGCCGTGGTATCGACTTCAAAGGAGTGAATTTGGTTATAAATTACGACTTTCCTAACAGCGCCATCAGTTACATCCACAGAATTGGTAAGACCTTTCAGCATTTTATTTTGTCTTCAATTTAACAAAAGAAAGAAGTGTTGAAATGACAATTAGAACTGTTGGTTGTTAAATCAATATACTATTAAAGTTTGTTACCACTGTAGTCATTAGTCCCTACAATGAGATTTATACATGTCGTTATTTTTTTTTAAATATTACTTACTAAAAGCTTTTTTGCAACATGCTGACATGTGTTGAAATCCTCATCAGATTCTGCACATTTGAAACTCTCCCTACTCTGTTTATATTTACAATGCCTACTACTGTGTATTATATTTTACAAGAATGAAATATATATACATATATAAATATAAAGACTTAAAGGAGAGATATTCAAAAAAAAATATTGCATTTTTATTAAATAAATATTTGTCATTTTAATCATTAAATTGTTTTTGAAATGGAATATTTTGTATGTTAAATAATGAAACTTCTAATTTAAAGAAAAAAAATGAATGGAAATTTATTGTACGCACCCTAGTAAAACCAATTGTATTTTTTACCCCCTTACATATTTGCACTTCTCCCCAAAATTTGATTTTGATCGGTCAATGTATGGCTATTTTAGAGGGTATGATGGACAAACAAGTGACAGAATTTTATATATAGATAGATGACTTGAGTATTGAAAATAAATCTTCTTTATAATTAAAATCATTCTGTGTGGAAATAATTTCATTGATGACATCTTCCATTGGGTTGCAATTTGAGTGAATGAAGTGTGTGGATGTTTTTGAAAGTAATCCATAAATTTGAACAAATATGCTTTAAGAGAATATTTATAAAACACTGGTTGACAGACTCATCTTGCAGACTATCACTACAGGGCGGTCTAATGGTTAGCAAGCTTGTCTTGCTAGAACAATTACAACTGAGTAGTGAGTTCGATCCTCACTGAGTGTCCCATACTTTCGGCCTTGTACCACATCTAAGCTACGGTTGGAAAATCACTATCACTACATTAAGGATTTCAATCCTCATTGGGGATAGCATGAGTGTTGCCCTGTAGGCTTCTTCTTTGTCAATCCAATGTCCAATCCCAGTGGCTGATCGTTGAGTTGATCACTTAGATCCAAGCCTTGCCTTGTCGTGTTTGATTTTGATCACAAGAATGGCAAGGATCGAATCGTCAGCAGGAATCATTGTATTGGTTTGGTCCGGGCAGAGTAAAGTCACAAATAAGAAAAAAAAAAAATAATAATAATAATAATTTGACTCAAAAAAAAATGTTTTTAAATAACATTCTTTGTACAGAGCTGGTATTACAATTATCAATTCTTCAAGTAGGAATATATATGCTTTGTGCAGAATTATCAACACTTCCCACTTTGTATATTAACATGAGACTTTTCTTGATATGACCGAGGTTTCTGGAACTAAGCTCAGAGATTTCCTTCAGGCAGCAAGTCACGTGAGATTGAAGTTGTCGTCTTATCGTCTCCATCAGTATTCTTGGTAGCTACTCTCCTGGTCGTTTCAATCTTCTGCTTATGTGGATTCTCAACCAAAACCGGCATGGAGTCTGACAGTGCCATCTCGTAACCCCTACAAAGACTTTTGTCATCTGACTCTGGAAAATTTATTGCATGCCCAATTTTTTTTTGGGGGTGGGGGGATCCCTCCTCTTAAGAGTAGTGGTAGTAGAATATCAATCCACCTTAACTCCTTTTTTCTCATATCATACCAATGCTACCCAAGGGGTGTAGGCAATTCCTCCATCCACTTGATATTTCACCTGAGCCCTTCACTTCAGTTGTCATTTGACAAACTTGATTTTTAGTCTGCGTAGGCGAACAGGTGGGGCTTAGCTCCATATCATTAATTTTAATTATTGTTTACAAGATTCCTCAACCCAAGATAATTACAAGCTGTTTTGGTTGATAACTTCTTCAGCAAGACTCTGGCTTGTGACACTCAGAGTTTGGCCATCACCCCCCCAAAAAAAACCCACTTCTCTAGCGACACACACTTTCCCTCCTTTTGACAAGTATATAAATCAACCCTTTTAACTTTGCCTTCATTCCTTAAAAAAAATTTTCATTTTACTTCTCGTTGGCAAAATTCCTCAACCTAGCCTCGCTCATAAAATTTAGAAATTTACCAGATGGTTTTCAAGTATACAAAGGAATCTGAGGCCATCATTTTCTTTATCTTTTGACCAACTTCCCTTCTTGGTTTATGGTTGGTGGGAAATACTGAATAACCCTCACTTTAAATAGCGATTATCAATGTCTCCATTTTGGCCCAAACAAGTAAAATCTTCTGCTCTCTTGAATGTTCTTACACCACCTCTCCCCATCACTCGTGGGTTTAAATTATTCAGATGGCTTTTTCAACTGAATTCCTCAAAATAATAAAGGTATTTTGTTTCAAGTCATCCCCTTTTTATGGTTTATTCATGAAAGAAAACAAACTTTCTGAATTTTAATAAAATCCTGCTCTTGGTATGTTTATCAGGCTATCTCTTCAAGTGTCTTATAGTGTCACATCTCTCTTGGTATGTTTATCAGGCTATCTCTTCAAGTGTCTTATAGTGTCTCTCTCTTGGTATGTTTATCAGGCTATCTCTTCAAGTGTCTTATAGTGTCACATCTCTCTTGGTATGTTTATCAGGTTATCTCTTCAAGTTCTTATAGTGTCACATCTCTCTTGGTATGTTTATCAGGCTATCTCTTCAAGTGTCTTATAGTGTCACATCTCTCTTGGTATGTTTATCAGGCTATCTCTTCAAGTGTCTTATAGTGTCACATCTCTCTTGGTATGTTTATCAGGCTATCTCTTCAAGTGTCTTATAGTGTCACATCTCTCTTGGTATGTTTATCAGGCTATCTCTTCAAGTGTCAAATAGTGTCACATCTCTCTCTCTCAGTATAGCTATTGAGCTATCCTTTAACCCTTCCAGCATCTTATAGTGTCATAACCTTGTGTCAAATTTGAATAAAACATATATTAAATGCATCTTTAGTCATATTTTAGAAACAGAATTTAATATTCAACAATTCCATTCATTTACAAAACAATATTTTGTATATTAAGGAGGATGTATGTATAATTTTATTTTTGTATATTTTTGTAGATGATAAGCTTCATAACACATAAGAACACATAAGAGTATTGTTTATAGTGATTTTCCAAGCGTAGCATGGATGTGGTACAAGGCCGAAAGTAAGGGGCACCCAGTGAGGATCGAACTCACTACACATTTGTAATTGTTCTAGTGAGACAAGCTTGCTAACCATTACACCACCTCAAGGTGCCCGAAGAGTATTGTTTATATGTTGTCAATAACTTTAACACGTATCCTAACATATTCATGATATAACATAACACATGAGTATATTGTTTATATGTTGTCAGTATTATAATGAAAAGAAAGTTTTAGACTTTGTGGAAAGGAGAATTTAACCAAAAGATTTGTATAAAGATCTTAATGTCCTAATTTTGTTTATACTGCTGTTGTTTTCACTTCCACACCACCATTGATTTGTTTCAAAGGGCATAAAGGATGCTGGTCTGCTCTCTCCTCATCACATTGACTTTTAACCAATGTCCTTGTACCTCACACATCTGATAGTGGACATTAATTTGAGCTGCTTGATTGAGGTTTGACATCTGACCACTGAGAATGTTCCTTTCTCATGGCCCTAGATGACATGTCAGTCAGAAGCCAGAACAGAACAACCTGGCCATAGCTCTCTCCATTTACTGAACATGTTGGCTAGCATCACAAATGTAGCCCGTCTGTCATTTCCTACATCAGGCTGAAAAATACCATGATAACGCTTTTAATACTTCCGAGAGAGAGAGAGAGAGAGAGAGAGAGACTGACTAAAATTTAGTAGGTCCCAAACTTTTACTGTTGAAATAGTTAAAATGCAACCACCACTTCTACTGTAACAGTTTCTTTTCTTGCACTTCCCACCTGTGGAACTCCCTTCCATTTACTTGCTTTCCTGAAAAATACAATCTTCAAAAATTTAAATGCAATGTCAATCATCATCTTCTATCTTCTTAATTCCTGTTCATCTTTTATCTTTTCCTCAGTATCCCCCTATCCCCACTCCCCACGTACTAGTGATATTGCTGTCTTGCTTTGGGTGGAAATGATTAAAAAAAATATCCATTTATAGCTTAGCTTGCTAAAGGTGTATTGACTTCTTAATGCACCATATTTATTTATATATATATATATATATATATATATATATATATATAAAGCTTTTTGATACCTCCTGCCACAATTACAATATGTGTTTAGTTTGTCTTTGAAATGGTTCCAAAGGAATCTCACTGGCATTCAAACTGGTTCATTGATTTCAGTTATTGGTTTTCATCATGTGGCACCACCAGTTTACTTATGGTAGGAGGTGCTGAAAAGCTTTCTGCATTCAGTCATCAATTTGCCTCCTGTGCTCTCACTCACTATATATATATATATATATATATATATATATAAATTAATTTAAATAATTAAGAAAAGAATTACCTAAGGTTCCATGACTATAATTTATATATATATATATATATATATATATATATATATATATATATATATATATATATAAAGAAAGAACAGTAAGATTTTACCTGTGTCTTTAAAACCCAGTAATTTTAAAAGTTACTCCAAAATTCTCTTGAGGATGAAATGGAACTAATGTCTTTAATTTAAATTACAAAATTAAATTCATAGCTTTTAGCATCCATTTTTGAAACATGGTTAGAACTGTGTAGTGAAAAAAAAAACATATTTTAAATAAATCAATTTATATAATATATATATATATATAATGAGAGAGAGTGAGTGTGTATTTGGGCAGCAATCCCTCTTTTATGAAAGTTTCATTGAAAATGACTGACAAGGTGTGGGGGCTGAGTCTTTTTATATAATTTCTCATGTGTTTATATATTAAGTAAAAAAACACCACTGACACTTAAAAAAATCTGTCAACAAACTAATAACATCCAGCAATCCCATTGTAGGATTTGTAAAAATCAATAAAATTGTTGGAGATTACCAACCAGGATACCTATATGGAAATGTTAAAATGCACAAACCTGAATATCAATTGCAACCTATCATTTCAAAGATACCAACATCTATTTTCCCAAATATCAAAAATTCTCAATGATATTATTACCCTATATCTACAAACCAATTATAACATCAAGTCAACTCATGAATTCCTTCAAATCCTTAAAACTACAAAACAAAACCAAGGTGTTCTAGCATCATTTGGCATCAAATTTATTCACAAATCATAGATATAATCTTTAATTCCATCCATCAAACACAATATTCTCAAAACATTATTACATGCATGCACTACTAAAGTCCCCTTCTATGACCAAAACGGAAAAATCTACACTCAAACTAATGGAGTAAGTATGGGTAATCCTCTTGGTCCGTGCTTCTCTATTGTCCCGCGTAGAAAACAATATTTTTAAAAAAGTTACTAAACTGAAAATATACGTCAGCTACATAGACAATATTTTTATATTGGCTAAAAACAAAAATGAAATTGATGATGTCGAAGCTACGTTCAAAAAAAATTTCCTCCTTAACTTATAAACTTAGCCAACAAAATAAACTCCCATTCTTGGATGTTCTTGTGGAGTCTAGTAATAAATACATTCAATACTTCGTTACATAAAAAACCCACAAGTAAAAACTCCTGCCATCTTAATTTTACTAACCAATGTCCTATCAGATATGAAATATATGTTATTAAAAATTTCCTTATGAGAGCACGCAAGAATTCATCCTTTCATCCGCTTTTCTTAATAACATGGAACGAATGCTTGTTAATAATGGTTTTTGAAACCATCTTATAGATTAGCATATTAGACTTTTTCTTTTTAAGGTAACCAATAGCAACACAAAACACTCAGGAAAAAAATAACATTAACATTTCCTACAAAAATCAAATGCATAGTAATTATAAGCAAGACAAATATTCACTCAGAAACACCATAAAGAAATACACAACTCCAGTCAGCAAAAAAAAATGAAATTATTTATTACAAAAAATTTTAAACCATTAGCCTCATCGTCAAAAATAATAATTCACCTGCAAAGGTCTACATTACAGAGAAACAGTATTTTTTACGAATTTCCATGTCTCTTAAAGAGCCGTATTCCTGACCAATCCAAATTCATAAATAATTATATTGGATATATTTCAATGTGTTTAACAAGAAAAACCAGATTCATCTCTCTGACTATGGCTCAATTAGATCTCATTTAAATACGCATGGAGACCTACCAAACACTATCCGTAACATACTTGTTAATAATATAAATATAATAGCATCATCCACATTTACAAAAAGGCTAAAATTAATGGAAGCATTATTAATAAAAAGAAAAAGCCAACACTAAATAATATCAACTATGAACACTTTCACAACATGCTGACCATGTTTGGAAAATAAAACATTTCTGTAACTCTAGATACATACATAAAACAATGCATATATTCAGTTAAAAGTAAAATAAAATTTGTCCTTGATAATGGCGAAAAGTATATCCAAAAGCACTTGGAAAACATTCAGACAATTTTGATAATTTATGCCATGAAAAGAAAAAATTATATGAACATGTGAAATTATATAAAAAAAACTCAGCCACCACACCTTGCCAGTTGTTATCAATGGGACTTGCATATATATATATATATATATATATATAATATAATATAATACTTTTATCTTAAGAGATTAGAACAAAAACATATTGAATGTAATTGCTCTAATCTCTTATGTTAATAATAATAATTGCCTAACATTGTATTGGGCATTTTTCTTTTTTAAGTAAATGCTATGAACAGTGGAATTTTACTCCGTCTGTTCTTTCTCTCATTTGGATAAGTGAACATTGAAGTCAACACTCAATCACAGACTGTTTCATGCTAAATGCAATCATGTGGCCTGATCATTGTGTTTAGTGTAAAACAATCTGTCGCATGAGTGTTGACTTCAATCTTCACTTTTATATCAACATACACTCTATCTCTGATATTGAGCACTTTATCCCATAAATATAGCATAGCTTAAAACTATATTTCTTATACATACATACATACATATCAGGTCATCCCATAAGTTCTGTCTGAATTTCGAATAAAGAAAATAAGTGACCAAATGTTACATTTAATTACAGATTCAATCAACAATGTATTTTCCCTGATTATCTATGACTTCCTTCCATCTATTAACAAGCTTACTAATTCCATTACTGTAAAATTCTTTTGGCTTTGATTCGAAGAACTCACAAATGTCAGTTTTAACCACTTCCTGTGTTACAAAAGCTGTTTCTTCCAAATGATTCTGTAGGCTACGAAACAAATGGTAGTCTGAAGGAGCAAGATTGGGAGAATAAGGTGGATGAGGAATTTTCTCCCAACCAAGTTCTTCGATCTTTTGTGACGTGATTGTTGCTGTGTGGGGGTCGCGCATTGTCCTGATGAAACATCACCTCTTTTCGATTCACTAGAGCAGGTCTTTTTTTCCTCAAAGCTTGATTCAAACGCTCTAATTGCTATCAGTATATTTGAGCATTAATTGTTGCATTAGGTGGTAAGAATTCAAAGTGGATTATTCCTTGGTGATCCCTTCTCGGCTGTAGCTGGAGTCCTTCCCTTTACCCACTGTCAATGTCTTTTGATAAAAGATCTATTTTTAACATTTCGATTTATCTTCTGAAGTTCTATTTTTCAAATCCCTCCCATAAACTGAGTGAATTTCTAGCTCTTCTGCTGAGTTCTTTTTATTAAAGCATTATGTGCCTCAACTCCATAAACTGTTAGAAGGGTTTTAATCAAACAAAATTTAATTTTATTGTTTCTGAAATAAAAATTTGATCAGTTTAAATGCTCTTTAAAATTTTGTTTTAAAATTTTAACAAAAAGTTAAAATTCAGACAGAACTTACGGGATGACCAGATACATACACACAGTGTGGCAGAAATATCTCCCACATAATGTTAAGGCATTAGCTTGCTGAAGACATTACCACTAATATCTTACCATTATATGATAGGTATTTCTCCCAGTGTGTCCATATTAGTATGTAAAATAAGAAGAATAATTGATTCAAGTAAATGTTTCTGTGGCCTGTATCTTTTTGGATTTTCTTGTTCACTCTTTTCAGTTTAGATCTTTCTTACAAGACTTGACAATCTTTATAGCGTTGAAATTAAACAGATGAATACTGATAACTGTACTATTGTATTTATTTACAATATTATGAACAAACCTTCAGTAACATAATAAAAATTCACACCACCAAATAAGTTATTGCAAATATTTCTCAACAAAACTGATAAGCTGAGATTTGTCCCAACATTGAATGGCAAATAGTAAATTTATTGTGAAGACCTGGACTAATAAAATTAAGTGTAAGTCAAAAGAGAAAAAATAAATCATAGTCAGTCGTAGAAATCTGACAGAAATTGGGCATGTGTCCTACATGGAACCATAATTCTTTCTGATATGCTATACCACTCAGCTACAGAGGAAATAATTTGGACTTTATTAACCAAACCCTTCCTCTGTAGCTGAGTGGTATAGCATGACACGTCAAATGATGGTACTGTATAGGACACAGTTTTGATTCCTGTTGGAGGACACACATATTTTTCTACAAAATTTCTTGGACATTTAGGCCAGTAAATGCAATTAATACTGTTTATTATAAACAACATTTACTTAAATAATTGTATCTATAAAAATAAGGTATAAACAGAATATAAACATATATTTCCACTTTCTCATAAAATTTCCCCAATACTGTTCTTAATATAAAAATATAGGTAAAGATCTGTGGGTTAGTAATCCAAATAGATCCTATTAATATAAAATATTAATATTGATCTACAAAAGAGAGTTCAAGATATTTATTATAGAGCATATAACAGGGAGAATCTCCCAGAGACGAAATGGCCATCTGAATAGGGTAATTTAGGTTTCATTTTTGTAATTCAGACATTTTTTTATATATATATATATATATATATATATATATATATAAAAACAGTGATGAGAAGTGGGAATACCCTAATATTGTTTTTTATACAAGTACTTTTTTTTTTTTTTTTTTATTAAAATGAAACAATATTCTGTATTGTGTAAATGAAAAAGTAATGAAGACTTAGTACTTTTAGGAAAATTAAAATTTTGTCCCTTCCACCCCAGTTATCCCTGAAGCACCATTTTGTTCAAAATCTCCGAGTCAACTTTAAAAAGAAGTTTCTTTTTGATTCTATTTTTTACTTTCAGGGCGAACTGGCCGTGCAGGAAGACCCGGTAAAGCCATCACATTCTTTGTAGAAGACGATGTACATTATTTACGAAGGTAATCCTTCTGTTCATTTAGATTTTCACAGACAAGACTCATCTATCTTTGAGCCAATCTTTGATATTGGCTGAATGCTGTTGTATTTCTGTTTTTCTTTTGTACACACTTCTTTACTGAAGCCATTGTTTTATTTGACTTTGTTTCATTCCACACACAATTCCTTTCATAAAAATTCCAAGGGTGATGTAAAAAAAAAAAAAAATTAACAAAATGACTCTTGATTTTCTTTCTCTCTCTCTCTTCCTTACCTCCATTTCTGACCATTTTTTTTTTCTTTTCCTTCCACCTTTAAAATAATCTATTGCTCACTAATTTCCACTGAGTCCAAGTACACACAGACCAATCCAGGGATTGAACTCACAATATGTCACCAAATTCACAAATTAATGCTTTAATCAACTAGACTAATTCAATCCCTGGGTTGGATTGTGTGTACTTGGACTTGATGGAAACAGTGCAAGAAATAACTGCGGAGTACTTTAAAAAAAAAAAAAAAAAAAATGGTGAAAATTGCAATTGTCCATATCACTACACCAGCTGTGATTACATCCAAGGTTGGCTATGTGCAAATGCACCAGCACCCACTATGTTCCACAGATTGGTCTCAATAAACAAAACAATAGAACATGCTTTTTAAGACATCTTTTGGTGTCAGGAAGTAGGGAGAAAGAAAAACAAAAAAAAAAACAAAACATACAACCATTTCACACTTAGCAATATCTTTCTTCTGCTAAGAGAAACCAAACTTTCTGATTTCTCACTAAGTTTCAGTCATTGAAAACAAACCCCTACACACTCATTCACTATATGGATACTGGCTGGGGGACTCACCACCCCTTTACATCCACTGATATCCCACCAACTAGAAAGGAGGACCACCCAGACAAGTTTTGGGTGTTTTTTTTTTTTTTTTCTCTCTCTCAATGGACGCTACTTTTAGTATGTAAAAACACTGAATTATTAAACAAAAATTTTGTCAAAGATACAGTGGAGACAAGATTCATGAGAAATTCTGGTCATTAAATTGAGTTAAAAGGAATATCTCTCTCTTTTATTTATTTATTATATATATAAAGAACTAAGCAAGATATCCAGAGGCTAAATTAAATAAAGAGATTACCTAGATCGGTATAGACCCAATGAAGGCTAAAACATTGTGATAACAACAAAGATGACAAAAGTCTGACTGTAAGTGATAATTCTCCATCCCAGAAATTGTCATGGTTCTTGTTAATTGTATCTTTTTTTTTTCTTTTTACAGCATTGCCTCTGTGATGAAAGAAGCTGGTTGTCCTGTTCCTGAATATATGCTTGACTTGAAACGACCTGATAAGTAAGAATTGTTTCAAAAACCCTAAATATTGTAGACGTTTTTTTTTTTTTTAGTACTTAATTTTTAAAATCTTTTATACCTCACTAACAGATTCATATAAGACAAACTAAGGACAGTGTGTGAAAAAAAAAAAAAAAAACATGTGATGGGAGGGTGGAAGTAGTGCAATTCACACTGCAATTCCTAAATGAGTCTCATTAACACATCCAGTTGTTGTCCAAATGTGTCAGTTTTGTGTTGACAACTGTGCAAGTCCCAAAGTTTGGTTTCCTTCATTCTTCAATTCAAAAAGGTCATATCAGTAAAAATTGAGAAATTATAAAAATCTCTTAGCTATCTGACCTTGAAGAGTTTTGGATATCGAAATACACTGAAGATTGCACAATGTTTTTAGCAGCTTGCCTTCAAAGTTAAGAAATAAATAAATAAATAAGCAGCAAAGGCATGTCTGGGTTGTGCTAATGTTATCTCAATAAGTGCTCACAGCTCTGTCATTGGCATCAATAGGAATATAGAGATTGTGCACTCATAATATATTTCAATAGGTTCAATTGACAGATCTTGTATCAAGAGGTATAATTAGGCTCCCAAAACACTTTTTTTTTTTTTTTTTTTTTTAGGAGGTGGGGGGTCTTAACTAAAAATTTGCTATGGCAGTTTAAAAGAAAGAAAAAAAAGAAGAAAGTAATTTATATTTTATTGATTTTTCATTTTCTTGCAATTTGCTGTGAGTTAAAACAGCCATCAGAAGTCCAAGGAGTGCATATTTGGAAACTATATTTTATTGAATAAAATTTCCCTGAGAACATTGCAATAGAATCAAAAACTGGATGTTACGGTCTTGTGCTAACATAAGCAATCAGTAAGATTAAAAAGTCTTTGTGGGTAATTAAGTTCATTTAAGTTTTAACTGTCTGTAAAAGTTTTCTATCATCTGCAGTTAAAATAACAAAATTTGTTAATTGCTGATTTTCTTTTCAGAAAAGAGCGTCGAAAAATGGCACAAACCAATCCGAAAAGGAGGAGAATTTCCACAACTCCTTATGAAGATATTAAGGCTGCCAAAAAACAGTAAGTTTTTTTTCTAGAATTGTTACTTGAAAGAGAAATTAAATATTTGCCTTTTAAACATAGGTCACAAAAGAATTTTAATTAAAATTCTTTTCTTTGACAGAAAAACGTCCAAAAAACGAAAACCTGGGAAGATATCAAAAACACAACTGAAAAAATCTCGACCTTTCCCTGGCAAGCGGCCAAGGAAATCAAAAATGGAAAATCCAGAATAAAGTTTTTTTTTCTTTTTTAATCTTTTGTTGTCTTTTCTCTTTTGCCTCATGTAGAGGAGAAATGAGGAAACAAAACATTTGTTTATTCAATAAATGAGCTTTTAATTAACTAAATTTACAAAATGGCAAACTAGGTCTTCTCTTCTTCCAAGTTAGTATGTTGAAAATGAAGTAAAAGCAAACTTTATTTCTCAGCTGCTTTTGTCCTGACTTTTTTGTCCATTTCACTGGACTCATAATCTGGGAGAATATTGGCAATGACTCCATAACCAAGAGTCACTCCAGAAGCTCGCAAAGTGAAACGCTGACCTTTCTCAAGAGCCTGAAAAAAAAAATAAATAAAAATAAAAAATGATCCAAAAATTAACATTTATCCCTATGTATAATATGCAGCTAAAATAATATTGAAAATTACCTGATAAATATAACATTTTATTTTACTGTCAAAACATGCAAGTTATAAACAAAAGGTAATAGAAAGAATAGGAAACAGAGCTGCAGCTAGAAAATATGACTTGAATAAGGCTAACATACGTTTATGGAGAAAAAAATAAGGTAGAGGAAGAAAAGCTCAATATCCAGATATGGAACAAAGTTTAGTTGAATTTGTGAAAGAAAGATGGTCAAGTGGATGTTCCATAAGTACTGTGGAAATATGAATGAAGGCAAAAGAATTTACGAAAACCATGTATCCAGGAAACACGTTTAATGCCTTCAGCAAACTGGCATCTTTTTATGAATTAGAAGAACAGCCATAGCCCAGCGTTCTTGATAATCATGAAGATAAGCTTTTGAATTTTCAGTGTTTTGTTATTCAGCTAAGAAAAAAAAAGCACAACTATCCTTTAAGCTGTATTGGAAATGCTGACCAAAAACCCTTGATTTATTTTTTCAACAAATAAAAAATGTGGTTACTAATAAATTTATTGACTAAAAAGTGTTACAATTATTGTTGGATTTAAAATGAAAATTGGGATATCTTTTTAGAACAAGTAATATTTATTATAAATCAATAACGAAAAAATATTTTTGTTTAAACCAACTTATAGTGATTGCCTTGATATAACTTGACATTTCATAAGTTTGGCTGGTGAGTGAGATGGGGAGGGGTTTAAAGTGCCTGTCAACAATTCTTAGAATTCACATAGATATTAAATTGTGTTAACATGAAATACAACCCTCACCCAAGCTTACAACGGACTGGCCATGATCATCAGTGTGGCCTGATGCAAGGTAACGATGATACAAACCACCCTGCCATTATGTATGACTTTAGAACCTGGCTCTGATCCCAACACCCACGTATACCATATTTCTGGTTTTGGTGTTGTTTGATCTAATAAAAACAAAAACGACAACCCTTATCCACTCCTTTAGTTTTCTAAGCAACATCCATGCAGACCAGACTTCAAAAAGAAGTACCTGTAGGCTATAAAACTGAAATAATCAATAGAAAAGGGAGATGTGGTTTTATCTCTATGTAAGTATCCATAGAATCACAGCTAGATACTTTCTCAAACAGACTAATATAATAAGTTTAACTTTTCGTTACAAAAATATCTTAATATTTTTAGAGATTTGTCATTTGCTCTCGCAGTTAAAGAATTGATTATAAAAGAAATGAAAGAAAAAGAGTTTAAAATGAAACTTGCCATTTTCTTGAAAAGATTAAATGTGACCGTCCCATCCTCACCGGGCATCATCATATCTTTGCCTTGAATCCGCATAAAAGCAGGACAATCCCAAGTTCGACTAAACACTTGTGTTTGGAAAAAATCTGTAAAAGGCTTTGCCCTGCCACCTTCTTCTTTGGTCAGAAGATAGACCTACAAATTGAAAAGGAGAAAAAAAAAAAAAAGAAAAAAAATGAAAACTTTGGCAGAAAGGGGGGATGTTTTGGAGAACGTACAACACCAGAAAATCTGAGTTCAATCAGAATAGATAAGTACCAATATTCTGAAGAATAGTTTTGAATATCAAGAAAATAAAACAACAACCAGCTGATCTGTGATAAGAGAAGAGAAAATTTAACAGCTGTCAGAATGTGTGGATAAGATCAGAAAACGTGTAGTCTTCAGACTAACTCTTTCCTTTAGTGTCTTAGTACCATCCTGAAGTCAAAAACCATTTTAAAAATGTTTAGGAAATAATATAAAGACTTATTTCAACCTGGGCTGCAGACAACTTTCCAAAATTTTTCAAATTCAAGGACAGAAAATAAAAAAAAAAGTTAAAATATAAAATTTTTATTTTTTTTAAAAAACATTTCAGTTAGATCCTCTTGAATAATTTTCATACAGAAATGTTCTTATTTTTCCTGCTTAAAAACTTTTATAAGAATTGTACATTCTTTTTCTATATTAAGAATTTCAGTGAATTCTATTTGCAATCAAAAGTCTTGACTAAATTTATCAGATTTAAAAAAATACCACCTTGTAATTTCAGTTTAGTCAATGATACACAAAAAAGCATAACTATTTGTTAATGGGGCGTTCTTAAATTTAGGCATTAGCATAATTGTAAGTACTTTAACCTTCATTTTTGTTTTGTTTTTAGATTTCATTCACTTCATTTAAAAAAAAGCCTTTTTCAATATTTCCTTTATGATTTTTTGGCATGTGTGAGCATGTCCCATTTATTGAAAGTCTATCAATATTGGTAAGAACTAAACATTTTCTTAAAGTTGAGGAAATTAGTTGCTTTTATAGTCCTTGGGATAATGTTTTGAAATTAACTGTTTAAAAGAAGTAGTGAAGGGGCTCATTTATCTGCTTTCCAAAATAAAGCCGATGCCCAATACGTGGGTTCACAGTTGTCAGTTCTTAAATATATTCAAGATGTTATCTGCAGGACTTTAAATTGGATTCTCTCTGTGCACACACAAGTACACTCTCTTATACAGTACAGTAATTTATTTTCAATAAACAAATCTTATTCATTGAGTAGCCTTTTTATAATCTATGACATTTCTTGGTTTTTACTTATTGAATACTATAAACAAATTGCAGTTTTTGCCTGTGGTGGTTCATAATTAGAATTCTGTTTTGAATACATTTTCTAGTCAATGTCTCTAATAGAAAAAATATAAACTTTATTTGGATTTATTCTTGAAATAGTAAAATTTTGAACCCGGTTTGTAAGCAAAAATCTGCAGAAATTGAGTATTTCTGCACATTTTTTCAAAAAAAGTGACAAATCTAATTTAAAAAAAATTTTTTTTAGAGTGGTACGTCTTTTCCTTTCTTTAATTGTTGCGTTAAGATTTGAGGAGTGTGTATGGATTCAAGGGAATTGTGATAAAAAAAATACTGAATGAAAGGAGTCAAATGCTTCATTTTAAAATTTCATAAGGGAAAAAAATTTAGGAGAGGTGTCAACTTAATGTATCAAGTCCCCCCCAGATTTTGTTAATATAAATCTTGTTCCATTACCTGGGCTTCCACTTTGTTGTGCATTTTAATAGTGCCTGGTTTGCACAGACACATACCTCGCCGAATTTCATCACGTTTCACTCCTCGGATAAGAGCCCCAAGCTGATCACCTGCTTCAGCTTTATTCAGAATTTGATGGAACATTTCAATTCCTAAAAGAAAAGAAAAAAGTTTTTGGCATGTCAGATGAAAATGGAAATTTTGAAATGAAAACATTGATTACATAAGGCTTCCTCTACCCCAGACTCTACCCCCCCCAAAAAATTAATAAAATTTAACCTTTAATATACTGAAGGTGATTTTGTTTGCAAAGCAAAAAATTTATTTTGCCACTGCAAGTGACTCAGATGAATGAATGATAGCATGTTTAAATTTTGCAGTTGTGTTATCATATCCTGCTATGGCAACAGAAAATGACCATGACTGAATTTAGGTAGTGCAGTAGAGGAGCCTTGAAAAACAATGTAGTGGAAAGGAAAGTAGTAAACAATGTAGAGTGGTAAAGGTTAAAATTACATAAAAGATGAAGAGAGAAAAAGGAAAATCCACTTTTGTAATGGATGCAAAACAGATTTATTTTTGGTCATGTAATGAAACTGAACCCATGTGAACAAAACTGAAGATTTTTTTCTTTTGTATTTCTGATCTTTCTTTGGAATGTGCCTGAAAATACCACCCCAGGTTAACCCAAGCCTCGTGAGTAAAATTAGGAAATCATTGTTACTGAAGGTTTGAGTGTGCCGGACTTATTCAAAAAAATATATCATGCCAGATTACATGCTCTCTCCCAGAAACTGTAACTATGGTCCACTCAACTTAATTGCAGTATAAACCACAGGTGAATTGAGCAGGTATCTGTAACAGGATGTGGCTAGCTGCCCTGGCCATCAGGTGTGCTCAGAAATGAGTAGTAAGCAGCCATAGATATATAAAATAAAAGCTATAACAACATAAGGCAGATTTAAACTTAAACACACTTTAGGCAACTTCATTCACCCATGCAGTTGACTCAGATTCAAAAAAAAAAAAAAAAAAAAAACAAGTATATTTAAATTTCATGATTGTGTTGTCACATCCTGCTATAGCAACATAAAAAAACAGCCTTGATTTAAATCAATATCAAGGCTACTGAAATTTGCATTTGAGGAGCCACCATATATAGTGGAAGGAAAAGTAATACCATTGAATAATGTAGAGTGCAAAAGGTTAATAAAATCTTTCATTAAAAAAGTTTTTTTTTTTTGTTATCCCTTGGATAAAGGGTGAGACATCTCTTCGAAATGCTGTTATATAAATATGTACTCTTCATTCCCCAGTACCAAAGGTCATGGCTTGGGGGTAGGTCTTAGTAATCAAAAAAATGTCAAGAGTTTATTATGGGAGCTACCTGGTCAAAAGAGAATTGCCAGTTGTCACTTCAGTGTCATTAAAAAAAAAAAGAAAAAAAAAAAAAAAAAAATAAGACAAATTCATCTGAAAACAGATGATAAAAGAAAAAAAAAAATATTGTACAAATCAACATCAATGCAAAACAGCATTTGCCTGGGCAGAACTGATAACTAGTGTGACCAATCCACCAAACATTGTCACCTACCTGTAATTGTTGTTTTAACTTTCTTATCATAGCCAACCAATTCACATTCATCTCCCTTTTTGATGCTACCTCGTTCCAAACGACCAGTCACAACAGTGCCACGACCTGAAGGGGGAAAAAAGGAAAAAAAAAAGAAAAGAAAATCAACCAAACTGTCTGATGAAAAAAAAATGTTTCCATTTGTAAAAATATTTTTAACCTATTATCAGTTGAACTAACTGACTCCCAGGTTGATAATGGATGTAACAGATTTTTGCTGGCATAGTACAAAAGGAAGGAATTCAAACAGAAGATTTTTTTTTTTTTTTTGAGAATTATCACAATACATTTACGTCCTGTTTATTTGAAGAAATATTTTATTTTTTCATCATTTCACCCCAAGCCACTAGGACGCAAGGGGTTAAAGAGTTAGAGAATATGAAAAAAACTACTCTTAAGGAGAAAGAGCAATAAAAGAACAAGAATTAAAATAAGAATTGATATTACATCTAAATTTTTGAACATCAAAATTGACTGGGAAGCAAGAAGAGAGTTCCATAAGCAAGAAGCGTGATAGAAGAAAATATTTATTGAACAAAGAAAACCTTTATTGAAATTAATGAAAATTGTAGAATCACTGAATCCCCAGAACCCTTTAGCTCCACACCAGTTTTGGACCAAAGTGCATATAAGCAGATGAATTTGGAGACTTGAGTTGAGTAGTTACACATCGAGTGCCTCAGGAATCCACATCAGCTGCCACCAGGTTTCCTGATTCCAAGAACTTTGAACCCTGCTCCACCAGAAGTTTAGACAAGGCCCAGTGTTACTACAGAGATTGATGCAGGAAGGGTTAATTTTTGTTGTACCAGGAGCCATCTAAACCAATTGAAGATTAACCTCATGGATCTTTCATTTTTTTTTTTCCGTTGTGAATATATTTTCTTCCTTAACATAGTACTTGTCACAGCTTGAACCAGCACTGACATTATAAGAACATTCAAACTTTCGCTGCTCCGAGATCAAGAACAATGTGGGCAGAGTTGGTATGGATCAAAACAGCCAGTTTGGACCAGTGTCAGTATTGACCAGCGCAGAGTTAGCCTTGTGGTTAAAATGTCCTAAGACACTGAGGACCAGACCACCAAACGTGGTTGCACCACGTGGTGTAGGCGGTGCCAAAAGGTGTTATATTAATTGGTGACCATGACCAAGGATGTGACCCTGTTGGCAGGAGGTGTTATATTCCCTCATGAAAGTATTTATAGAAAAGACACAAGGAGGCCAAGTTACAGCAATGGGAAAGGGACTGAAGCCAAATGCCAGGTGACAAACAATAACATTGCAGATTCTTCTTTGGATTTTATCAAGAATCTCTAAATATATAGCAGAAGCACCAGACTATACGAGGCAGTAATATTCAAAGCAAAGATGAATGGAAAACTTATAAATATTTTTTTTTTTGAAAAAAAAACAAAAACAAAAAAAACACTTACCTGGAATTGAGAAAGTGGCTTCTACAGACATGTTGAATGGTTTATCAAGATCTCGTACAGGTGTGGGGATGTAGCTATCAACAGCATCGAGAAGTTCTTTAATCTTTTCAGCTCCCATTTCAGGTTTTTTTCCCTAAGAAAAAGAAAAAAAAAAAAAAGTTACTCAACATGTCCAAATCACAAAGTCCATTTCTTCTAATTTGGCATTTTGTTAATATTTCATATTCTTGAAATTCTTCACCGTATTCTCATAGTGACAGGAAAAGAAAAAAGAAAAAGAAAAAAAAAAAAAAAAAGAAAAAATGTTTTTATGTCATAGGAACATAACATCTTACCTCAACAGCACACAATGCCGATCCACAGACAATAGGAGTTTCATCTCCATCAAATCCAAATTCACTTAATAATTCACGAACTTCCATCTCCACCTAAAAATAAAAAGAGGAAAAATCTTAAAAAAGCAGTTCAAATGTGCAAAATACATTTTAAGCTGTTTCAAAAAGAGAATTTATTTCAACATAAAAAATTTTTTTTATTGAATCTTAAATAATTCAAGTTCTCTTCATTCAGCATTGTCAATTTTATGTTTAATTGCTGACAAAACACTTAACATTTTAAAACAAGTTTCATTAAAACCTATTTAATGTAAACACATATATGGGTAGTGCCACAGTTATTGTGTAGAAAGTGAAATTGGGGAGCAGAGTTGAAATTCTGATCTCATCTGTTGCATTCAATTTTACATAAATGCCTTTATCAAGGAATCCATCTCTTCGCCTCACAGCTAGGTGTTAAATAGTAAAGTAGAGCAAGTTCTCTAGCCTTGGATGGCAATCAGTCTAAGATGAGAAAAATTCTGAATTCCATTTGTAAAGAAGGTAACAGGTAGCCACTTCCACATCTTTGTCCAAGGGGGCATAGTAATTCACAGATAATAAAGAGTAGGAACCTGTGGAGAGCCATGATCACCTACTTCTTTAACCAAATCTAAACTATCATTTCTTCAATAATACAGTAAACATTTAAGAAAAAAAATTCTATTTAAAAACCATCGAAGACTAAATATAAAATGGTATACAAAAAAAAAATAAAAAATAAAAAAAAAGGGATTGTTCAAATGTGCGAAATACATTTTAAGCTGTTTCAAAAAGGAAAAAATATGAGAACAAATGAAAAGAGAATTTATTTCCCCAGTTTACACGATAAAGATAGATTAAAATAGTGAAATTTCTTTCAATTTCATTTTTAGGTGCCTACCTAAATGACTAAATTTTCTGGTTTTCACTTTTTAAATTCTTTGTATTTTCAGTTTAGTTTATGAAAAACAAAACAACATACAAATGTCATTTGTTAATGGTTAATTACAAATTGATTTTTAACCCAATTATTTTTTGTTTTGTGTGTTGTGGCGCAATGGATAACGAGCTTGGAATGAGAAACTGAAGATTCACATTTGAATTCCAGTTAGTTCATTAAATTCACTGCAAATATCTTTGAGAAAGGTCTTAATCTATCTCTTCTCCTCACAACTATGGATTGAATAGCAAGACAGATAGGATCCTATCTTCTACCTATTCAGTCATTAATCGAAAGATATGACTGCCCAAACATGCATTATGCACAGCACTTAACTAATTGATTAAAGCAAAATTATTTCTTACAATCAGATCGTAATCTTTTTCAAATTTAGAGATAAATAATAGAAATATCTAAATTTAATTCATTCAACCTTTGTTTGTCATTTATCAGTATAAAAAGAAGTGCTTAAATTTTGCTTATCTTTTTCATTTGTGTACATGTATGCTCCATTTATTAAAAGTCTGCTACTATTGGTGATAACTTTTTAAAAATTTTTAAGAAATCAATTGCTTTTAAAAATTTTAAAAAGTCTTTATCTTGAAGAAAAAAAAAAAAAAAAAAAAAAGCAGTTATCCCAAATTTATGTTCTATTGTCAATGATGATAATCTCAAAATCCTGACAGAGGCCAAACAAATAGTGTTTATTTTCACTAAATCCCCCCACCTCCACATCTCACCAATTTGAATCTAAAATAGAAGTGGATGCCAGGTAGGACTGAAAGGACTGTTCCTTTGAACAAGATTCTTCATCGTCTACCGAAATGGGCTACTCCCCATATGAGGTAATTTTGGATTTTATTGTTTATTAAATATATGGCTCTGTATTAAACATTGAGCTCTTTTTGTGAATTAATTTTAATATTTTATATTACTAGGATCCACTTGGACTATATACCAACGGATTTGTTACCTTTACTATGTGTGTGTGTGTGTGTTCAGTTTCAATTCCTAACAAAGACAATTTTTAGGGGGGAAAAAAAAAACATTGTGTGAATAAGAAGAGAAGAAACAAGTAGGTGAAAGAAAGGAAAAAAAAAAAATCAGGCAGCAAGCGTCACCAAAAGAAAGGAGGAGGAAGAAAAAAAAAAAAAAAAAAAAAAAAAACAAACAAACAAACAAGTAGACAATTGAATGACATTAAAAAAGGAAAGGACAAAGTAGAAAGAGATAAAGTTGTATAAGAAATTTAAGTTGCTTGAGCAGGTATCGTCTGTTTTTCTGAGAGAAAAAAGATGCTACATTGGGCTCTTGCTTAAACTTTTGAATTTCAAAAATATTTTTGGTACATTTCTATTTGTGGGAAATTGGCTGCATTTGGTTTTTTTTGTTCAGAACCAATCAGAGTGTTTCCTTCCAAATTCCAAGAAGTAAATTCAGAGCCTACCTGAATGAATAAATAGGGGGCCTCTGATTGAATTCAGAGTCAACTAACAGCTGCTGCATGAATCCAGATTGGCCCAGTCAAGGAAGAAAAACAGAGAAATTTGACAACTACCAGACGAGAATTGAAAGGAATATCAGTCGCTCCCACATCAAAGAAAATTCTTGGGCTGGTGCGATTGTTCAATTATTCGCCGTTACCACAAACTTTGTTTTGAAAATTGTACCAATTCTTTGAAAGCTATTCAGAAGTATTTTCTCCTTCATTTTATTTCTGTTGTTTTACCTTCTCTGAGAACCTTATGCAGCCTTTTTCTTTTAACAATAAAAATGACAAAAAAAAAAAAAAATATTCATTTCATTTGCATTGATTATTTTTACATACATGTTATTGGCCATCATTTTTTTTGTGTTAACAATAAAAATATATATTGTCTGTTTTTTAAACTCAGCCTATGCCGTCTGTTGTGTGCCCTTATAACTTAAATGTTATCTTAAACTTTTGATTGAACTATTTTCTCGTAGGGATTTTTTTTTTTAACAAAAAAATCCTTTACTTGAAGACAAAGTCTGGACAAGATACTTACCAATTCCAACATTTCATTGTCAGCAGCATCTGCTTTATTAATAAACACCACCAATTTAGAAATACCAATCTAAAAAGAAAGAGAAAATTGGTAGGTGAAAAATCAAAAGGCTCAGCTTAAAACTCACATCAAGGATCAAAAATGGAGAAATATCTATGACTTGTGAAAATTAGAAAGCAAATGTTTTTAGGGATTCAATAAATTATTCATAATCTTTATATAATGTTTGAGGTTCTAGCAGCCACAAATCGAGATGCATTTTGTACTGTATCCTTTCTGGAGTCCAGTGTTGGTGGTGTAACCTTTTACTTTTCTTGGAGTACCAGATAAGTGCAATCTTTGGAAGCAATGAGAACAACTGTAACAAAGATTCTTGTTAGTTAATTCCAGATAAACTTTAAAAATTCTGGAGGAGAGTTGAGAGGGGCATGAAACAGTCAATTATATCATTGCAAGTTAACAAGTCTTGAATTGTACAGGCTTTACAGACTGATTCTCAAAAACTCTTAAGATTTCTCCCTGTAGCTTTGAAAAGTCTTTGACATGTGATTCCTTCAGTCTTGTTATCTCCACTATCCTCACTTGATGTGCCTTTTGTTGCTATAAAAAGGACCATGACATCAACCTAGATTCCAACAAAATTTTATTGAATTCCTCTGAGCCGAGGTTAATACAAAGTTCACAGCAAAATCCTTGAAGAATTCCACTGAAATTCCCGAGTTGGGGACATTACATAACAGACCTGAAGATTGTGTTCAAGCATGAAATGGACTGTTGTTGCTTGATGCTGACCTCAGATATATATATAAGATACAGAACAAATAGAAAACATATCTCAATCTAACATTCCATTTTTATTAAAGGTTTATCCGAAATTAAAAGAAAACAGACAAAAAGACAGAACTTTGGTATTTTTCAATTTTGATCTGCATTTGATCTTTAACTTTTGATGAGATGTGTGTATGTTATGGTGTGCTATATTATGGGCAAAAGTGCTCAATATCAGGGAAAGAGCACATGTAAATATAAAAGTGGACACAGAGGTCAACACCAAGCAGCGACAGTCTGTTTCATGCTGAACTGTAATCTTCATGCCAACTGGCATCATATGAGAACATTAAGAATAATCAGGGAATTTTGATTTAAATAATTTTTTTCTTTTTAATTTCCTGTTTTCCAGGTTGGCTGTAATAACAAGTCAATAAGCATTATTTCTTTTTCATTTTTTTTTTTTTTTTTTTACAATGGGCAAACTTTACTACCAATTTATTCCACATCTTTTTATGACATTTCAGTAATAAAACAATTTGAAAATGAGGTTACCAGACACAATGTTACATAAATCTTTGTTGCTTTTATTAGTTTTGGGCTGATGTGTTCTCCAGCCTTCACTGGGTGCATGTTGCATTTCATTGTTCATAAATACATTTTTCTTTTTAATTTGTCACCACCAACACCCACAAAACTCACAATCCACAGATCTAATTATCAAATTTTGTGTGCTTAACTATATATGTAGCCCCCCCACCCCAAACCTAGTTCCCTATTTGTCTAGATATAGAAAGTATTAATAGCAGTTTTCTTTTAAATCTGCTCTGGTACATACTTCAGCTTAAATTCACTTTACTTTCTGCCTTATCAAGTTGTTAGACAAATCACATTTTGAGAAAAAAAAAGAAAAGGTTAATTTGATATTTATAACCATTAAATAAATGGAATTTGGGAAATAAATTTCAAAGTTGTCATTTTTGGCAGCAATTTCATTTGAAGGATAACGAATAAATCTTCAAAAACAGAAGTAAGGATGAAGGAGAGGAGGAAGGGAGAAAGAAAAATTAGCATACCAATTGTTAAATAATACTAAAATGTAATGTTAATCAATTGGAAGACATTTATCAGTAAAAATGAAAATAATCCAAGATCAGAATTCTAATGTGATTGTAGTTTTATGGTAAGATCTCAAAAATGGTCAGATAAAGAAATTCTTTGTAAGAAAGCCACAAAAAAAAAAAATAAATAAATAAAAAATAAAAAAAATAAATTAAAAAAAAAAAAAAAAACTCTCCAAAGAATAACTTGGTCTAATTTTATAAAAACATCAAAAGTGGGCTAAAAAATTTGATAAGAAATTTCAAAAATTGATTAATTCCCTTCCAGTGATTTTGTCAAGAAACCTGAGAATATAAATCAACATGAATCCAAAAATCCCAAACAAAATTACAAACCTGTTTGGCCAAGAGCAGATGCTCTCGAGTCTGTGGCATCGTTCCATCTGTGGCAGCCACAACCAATATGGCACCATCCATCTGGGCAGTTCCAGTGATCATATTCTATAAGCAACAAAAAAATCATTTTGGGTTCTTAACTTTGAAACTCATCAACAAAAAAACAAGCATTTCTAATAAATTGTCTGCAGTAGTTAATCAGCCCAGATCATCACACAAAGATCAAATAAAATATATAATTACATCAAATTAACTTGTGCATACATTTTGTGTTTAATTAAATGTCAACATGCAAAAAAATCAAATTTGCCATCCAATTTAGATGATTTTAGTCTCATGGAAACAGAACGTAATTCATTTCTAATCAGCTTTTTTTTTTCTTTTTTTTTTGCAATGGAAGCTGTTATTGGCAAAATTTTTAAATTTTATTATAGAAAAGTGAACTTCTGCTTAGAAACTTCATAAGCAAAAATATTTACAATTAAAAGTTTTAATTAGTGAATTAAAAAAAAAAAAAATTGTCATTAGGTGGCATTAGGAATGTTTAGTTTCAACTTCATTCAAAATTATGCTTTTTCGATTATACTGTCACAGCTATCATATCAGCATGCATTTTTTGACAAAATTGACTAAAACTGAACATGGAAGAAAATAAGCATATTTGTACTTCAACTCAAATTCAAAAATACAACTCAATTTTTACCAATTATTTATTTATTTTTTTTAGATTCAAATGCCTACCACATTTCAAACTTATTTGTTGGAAACTCTTTTTGTGCAGAATGTAATATTTTAGAAAATGTGGTGATTGCCACATCTTACTAAGAGCTGACCCCACATCTCCTCACATAACTAGTTTTGGCATCCAAGGCCCCTAAAATGATTCTCGAGATCAGCATTCAATTTCATGGGCATCAGGCATAGTAGAGATAAACTCTTTATCCTTGATTGGATCTGCATGACCTACAGCTCTCCTGCATACCACTATCAGATAATGATCTGCAAATCTTGTTTCAACCAACACAGGTATTATCAGCAGGATGGTGAGGCAGGTTAGCATGCTTCTGGTTGCTATGATGACCTTTCAGATCAGGTTATATAACCTTCCCTCATATACAGACTTCCAAGACTGCATGTTCATTAGCAAATCATGGTGAAGAGATCACGCTTGATCTGAGAATGTCTGAAATGTTCATCCTCAAAAGCATCTCTCTCTTATAAATCCTGTCCACTCTGTATGATTTAAAGTTAGTTCTTCCCAATGCTGGCCATGTGTATATATATATATATATATATATATATATATTTCAAGCATGTTTAGTTAAATAATCTAGACATTATGTCTATTTTTATTTTAATCCTTTAAAATTCACGGACCAACAATTTCTTTTAATGTGGCCATTAAACTCATTAAGTAAGGTAACATAGTTTTTCTTATCCCTTTTATCCTCCCCACCCGAGTATTTTGAATTAAGATATGCTGCCTATTATAATATATATATATATATATATACACACACACACACATATATACGTGTATAAAAAGTGTGTATATATAATAAAACACAACTTTTCAATGTTAAATGTACAACACAAAATACAAAGCCTCAAAATATGGTGTTCCTGCATTCTCACACCAGCATGCCTGAAACTGTCAGTAGTGGAGGGTCAAGAGTGTGGAAACATTTATCAAATAAATATATATATATATATATATATATATATATATATAACAGTAATGCCTTGTGATACAAATTTAATTTGTTCCAAGATCGAGCTCATAACTCAAACAACTCTTATCTTGAATTAATTCCCTTCATCGAGCTGTTCATGGCCCCTAAAAATTCGCCACTGTTCTTTATACTTAATTTCTTTGGCTCCATGGTGTCTGTAAAGTAATTTTGCAAAATAACGCCAAAAAAGACAACACACTGAAGATCCTTCCAGAGCAGAAATGAACATGTACAATACAGATGCTTAAATAAAACATGTCAAAAAACTCATATGTTGGGACACTCGTATCTCAAGGTATTACACTATATAATTATTTATTCAAAAATTATAACATAAATATGTTATAAAATCACTACAAAAATAGCCATTTTGTTTCAACACTTCTGGTGCCTTATCAAGTGATGGTGTTGAATGTAGAAAAAAGGGTTTTAAAAGGTTCAAATCAATCAAACACCCCTCGCTAGGGGAAACACTGTTCCATAAGCTGGAATGACCAATCAAATTACAAGTATATGAGAATTCAAAAAACTTGACAACGAATCTTGGTTATAATAATAAATTAATGGTTTAATGTTAGGGTTAGACTAAAATAGAATTCATTCTAATAAATATTAAATTTTACTATAAAATTCAAAATTACCATTTTTAAATTTAATCACTATTAAGTTTAAAAAAATTATAAAATTATTTAAAGAAGAAACTGAGGAAAAAATACACGTTTTGTTATTTATTTTGTTTTTTTTATTGAAAGGCCAAAATAAATGTTAAAATCTAATGTTGGTCTGAGCTTATATATATATATATATATATATATATATATATACATGCACATACAAAGGAATGTCACAAAGTTTTTCAAGCTAATCAATTTTTCAAAATCTGACCAAATAACTAAACATTGGAATACTTTGGTTAGACTTAGAACTTTTTTAACATTTCCCCCTATCTGTATATTTGCTAAAGTAAACAAATCTGACACAAAAAAATCACAAGTATGGAGTGCTTAGCAAAGATCAAACTCAATCGATTGGTAATGGTCTCTGTTAGACGGGCTAATTAACCAGTACAATCACTAGACATAGAAAAAAAAAACAAAAAAACAAAAAAAACTGATATATGTATATGAACTGAAGTAACCTTAATATAATCTGCATGACCAGGACAGTCAACGTGTCCATAATGCCTGTTTTCTGTCTGATATTCCACACAGGCTGCATTGATCGTGATGCCCCGGGACTTCTCTTCTGGTGCATTGTCAATGTCCTCATATTTCTTAAACACTGCATTCTTATCCAATGAAAGTACTGCAAAGAAACATACAAAACAAATTATAAGTAGATGCTTTTGATAAGTTGAGAAATTTAAGACATGCAAGTGTGTTGGAAAGAAAATTGCACAACATCATCATTCACTCAAAGATTTAAGAAAATTCTAAAATTAATTTTTTATAACAATAAAAAAAATTTTTTTATTAAAATTGAACTGCTCCAGTTTTCATTTGTGAATTTGGTGACAGTAATTGTGAGTTCAATCCCTGGACAGAGCAGTATTGACTTGGGCTCATTGGAAACAGGCAAGCAATAACCGAGCAAAACTAGAAATAAAAATTAGACAATTTATCTCCCCTAGCCATGAGCAGTGAAATGAGAACAATCCATCCCCTATAGATTATTAAAAAGGGTTCAGTTTGAAAATCCCCTGTAGGTTAACCAGATCAACATACACCTGATGAAAGCCAGAATGCACCACATCCAAAACATTATGGCACCAACAACAAAGATGAGGATAGTCTGCATGTAAATAATGATAATTCCTCATACCAGAAATTCTTTTTAAACTATAAATTTATAAACATTAAACAGAGTACTTACTTAAATATTTATGTCTATATAAATAATGTATAACAATATATTAAAATAATTGTCGGACTGAGTCCATTTCATAATATATTACGTCATATGTTTATGCTAAGATACACTTTGAGCAGATATGAATGCTTGAGGGAAATCATGGGAAATTTGTAGTTTAAAAGCAGTAAATTAACCTTGCTAAACAGATGTTTCCTTCATAACTGGTATAGCATGTCAGGCTATTATATGACGGTTCTGTGTAGGATACAGGTTTGATTCCTGTCAGAGGATACAAATTTTTCAAACATTCAGGTTGGTAAATGTTGTTAATACTGTTTATTATAAACAGAGCATTTACTTATATATTTGTGTTTATATAAATAACGTAAAACAAAACATTAAAATAATTGTCAAACTTAGTCCATTTCATAATTATATATATATATATATATTTATTTATTTATTGTGTGTGTACATGCATTGCAGACAACAGATTTGTGATGCAATGGTTACAGAGAAATACACAGTTTATTGGATTGTCATTCTGCCATCTTTGATGAAGATGTCAATAAACAAAAAAAAAAAAAAAAAACATTATCTATATGCCTTGAATGAGAAACTAGAAAAGTAAGGGGACAGGGCAGACCAACCTTTTGTGATGGCTGCAGTGAGTGTCGTTTTTCCATGATCAACGTGACCAATTGTACCAATATTCATATGAGGTTTGTCTCGAAGAAAAGTTTTTTTCTGTGCCACTGGCTGTGCAAAGTATCGTGAGGTAAATGAAATCTGCCGTACATTCTAGTAAAGAATAAAACATAACCAGTTAAAATGGTGAAACATTTAACATCAACATTAAAATGACACTTCAAGTTAACAACTCATCAATCTACAGACAACCAAAAGGAAGTCAACTGGTAATTGTCATCCATATTTGAAAACTGAAAACTTTCAAATAAAAATTACTCGTTTAAAAGTTTCATTTATTTTGCACAATAAGGAGCAAAAATTTAAAGTTACTTCTGCGATAGAGTCAAGTTTGATTTCTGCTTAGATACAAGACTGCTAAACAGAAACTGTAGAATTTAAATGCATTATACTGAAAAAAAAAAAAAATGAACTGTTTTATTTATATATATATATATATATATATATATATATATATATTAGGTACCTCCATGAGATTGCTGTAAAATGAGCATAGCATGATAAAAACAGCCTTAAACTTGACAAAAACAATTTTATTGTCAAAAGGTTTATGCTACTATTAAGAGGAAAGAACAAAGTATTTCTTAATTACTTTTTTAAATTTTTTCCGTCTTTTTAGAACATTCTAACTTTTGATTAAAAAAAACCTTTGTTTCGCTTCCTCAACAGAAGTACTAAATAACATAGCAAATTTTTGTCCATTTTTTTTTTTTTTGAATGACAGATATTAATTTTGAAAATCTTGCAAAAATAGAAATAATTGTTGGATTTGAATGAAACTTTCAGAAACTATTCACAAATGATGGAAATTATTATAAATATGTTATTTTTTTTTTTAAGTCATGATAAAAATATGTATGTATGTATGTGTGTGTGTGTGTATATATATATATATATATATATATATATATATAACCCCACCGTAAATAATTTTATGAAAACTCTAGAAATTCAATGTTGAAGCACACAAGTCATTATATTAGTTAAAAACACAAGGCTTTAAGGAAAGTAAATCATGTTTTTTTTTTTTTTTTTTTAAAGTCAGACCTCATCTACCTAAAAATCAGCTCTGAATTGTAACATACAAAACTCAATAAAATAATGATATTTAAAATGCTTTTAGTTGTTTTTATGAATACACATAATATTTTCTGAAGGCAAAATGCTGTCTTGATGAAAAATGAATTTTTAAAAGAATTATTATTTCTTAAATTATTTATTATTTTTACATTAAGATTGTTAAATATTGTAAAATTAGTGGAAATAATGAATCCTTTACTTAATGGTTTTATTAAGTAGATCTATCTGTACAGATTATAAACTGCACAAGCTTTTTACAATCAATGAGCCTCCAGTTAGAAAAATCTTACTGTATCTTGCCTTTTGTGTCCATGAAACGGCTGTGATTTGAATGTATGGAAGCCCAGAAGAAACATGATACAATAAAAATGTCACGTGATTTGATTTTGTATATGTTATTTGGTGCAGTTAACGGCCTTTACATTTACATTGAGCGAAACACAGAAATTTCATGAAATTGCATTGAATTTCTCAACTTCTGTTGTTACTTGGCTATGAAAAATAAAATAAAAATTGTATGTGATTATGTAACTACTAGAAAAAAAAATTGCTTTTCAATATTGCCATATAACTTCAGATTAAAAAAAAAATTAAAAGAGAAAAAATATATAGCAATTCAACTTATAAGGGTAGCCACAAAGTATTATGTACCTATGAAATTTATGTCGTCTTAGTTTTATATTATCACAGTTATGTCATTTTTCCATAAATGAAAAATCAAAATTAATAAAATGAGTGGAAATCCAAATAATACCATAAAATGTAATAAATGTACATAAAATGTACACTACTGATAATATTTCATAAGAAAGGTAACTAATTAGATACTTTTCTTATGAAATTTTATCTCACTCCATATTTTATTTAAAATTTTTTTTTTATAGTATTATATTTTTCCATAAAGCATTGTAAACTTAAAGGTGAAAGCTAAGTACAAAAAAAAATTAGAGTGCTGATAGTTTTCCTTAAAAATAATGAGGTAAATAAGTTGGTTCACTTAAAGCTAAATTATATCAGTTCTGACCGTCACGTAAGTGTGTGATGAAACCATCATGTTACTTGTCAATCAACGCCGCTGTTAAGACTGGCTTTCTTTTATTTTAAAGTACATTTTTTCAGCGCAGAAACCAAGTAATGTTTGTTTCAAAATATATTAAATGAACTCTATAATTTCTAATTTTCTTAAATTAAATTTTGAAAAAATTATAATTGATTTTTAAAAGAATTTTAAACGGAGAATTTCCCTTTTGTTTACAAAATTTTTCTTTAAAAATGTCCGATCATTGATTTTCTATCAAATTTGCTGTTGAAAAAAAAAAAAAAAAGATTTTTAACAAAAATTTTGGAATGATTAAAAAATGTAAAAAAAAAAAATAATCAAAAAATACTTTGATCTTTCCTCTTGATAACAAACATTTAGGCAGTAAAACATTTTCATCAAGTCTAAGCCCTTTTTATTCATGATATTTTTTTTTTTATTGCTCTCATAAACATACCTTATATATATATTAAAAAATAGGAAATTCAAATTAGTTAAGTGAAAATAAAAAGGTTATTAAATTCAATTACTGATTTAATAAAAGGAAGGTACAACTTACATGCCAATGGAATTTGAGAAAATTTCTAGGGAATAAATATGAACATAGGGCACCTGTGAGAGAAAAGAAAAAAATCCAAAGGAAAAGATTACAATCACAAGAAGAAATGTTTAACACTTTAAAACTTTTCATCAACAGGCTAACATATCCAAAATCAGATTTGCATCAAATGAATGAGGAACAATTAAAATTCACCTAAAAATTAATAAATAAAAAATGTGAATGCCACAAGTATTTCTATTGCTTTCATAATATTTTTAAAAGTTAAAAATTCTATATAAATGATACTGTTTTGTATCACATCAACTCCTCCCAGAGTTTTAAAATCTTTAATCAAGATTTTAAGTTTTTGAATGATATTCCCTCAATAATAAACATTGATGTCTGTTACACCCAAGAATGATCAGTCAGTTATGTGCCATGTGTGATACACACTTAGGCAATCATGTATCTTTCAATACATGACTGACAAAGCATATTTTTCCCGGCAGTAGGTTGCTATGTCTTTCTGCAGTAGATTAGTTGCCAACCCAGTCTGTCCCGCTATTTACATATTGCTGGAGGGGAGAGGAAGAGGATTCATACCTTCCCCAAGGGTATTAGCATGTCAGTGAACGTAATGGATTTAACTGGAATTCAAAGTCAGCTCTCCATTTCCTCAATCTAAGCCACTATCCATTACTCCATTTGAAGAGTAAGCGTTCTCAAAGCAAATTTGTTACTTTCACAACACAAAGAAAGAAAATCACTTGTAACGCGTCAGGAAAATAACTCACTCTCCAACAAACGCCGTAGCCAAAAATGCCCGAATTTTCCTTCTTCGGCAGATCGCACACAAAACATGAACTTTTTTCCGGGGTATCTGATTATCTCGTTCACTACACTCCCCCTGTCACATAAGTGACACTCATGGGTGGGCCTCTTTATTCTTAAGCTTCTCCGGAGCGGGGCGACTGTTGGAGGAGATTGTGTGTTATGTTCTGAGGTTTCTTCTGATCTGACAACCTCATGCGCAGAGTCTTCATCATCTGAAGAATGTTCTGAAGATTCTTCTTCTGAGGATTCTTCTGGTCTGACAACCTCACGCACAGAGTCTTCACCATCTGAAGGGGTGCTATCCCTACCTCCGATGGTAATTATTTGTTCACTTTCTGAACACTCACTGCTAGTGTCACTTGCTGACGTATCTGTACCTACATAGCGACGCAAGTCCTTTATGTGCCTTGGTATGCCATCAACCAGCACAGAACACCATTGTATTTTAACTACCCATGGATATGACGTGGCTCTACACTATAAAAAAATTTACTTAGGAGATAATTGGAGTTAATGTAATACATTCTAAGCAGGTGTGTCAAACCGATCAGTAAAAGACAAAAAAGTTGATCTTTTTTTTTTAATCATTTCACCCCCAAGCAAGGCTGGAATGCCACTAGTATACAGGGGATTACAGAGAGTGAAAGTAAGAGAAAAGACTGAATATAGAAAGGATTGAGGAAAAAATAAACAGAAGATGATGAGTGATGTTACATTTAAATTTTTGAAGATTGTCGTTTTCAGGGGAACAAGCAAAAATGGAAAGGAGTTCCACAAGCAGGAAGTCCTCAAATACAAACTTTTAGCATTTATGGTTAAAAAAAAAAAAAAAAAAAAAGGCCAGATTAAGCAACCCAACCGCCCACACCAAAAAGAAAAATTCTAATTCAAAGACAACTTCTCAGATTTCTTTTCCATCGACACTTGATTAGAATCAGTCCAATTAGCATACATCAGTTTTTCTGATGTTCTTTGAATAATAATACTGTCAAGAGGAAATTCTGAGATATCTTTTTTACTTCTTCATATTTATTGCCAATTGTCAAGAAAGAACAAACCAAATCAGTTTCTTTCAAGGATTTCCACTTCTTTGGATTGATATAAATAAATATTGCATCGTTTATCCCCAGCTGATATTTAAACCCATATCTGAGGACAGCTAATGCAGATTTTCAAAACAAGCAGGACAGACTTCCTTAAAGGACTGCACAACAGTCTTCCAAGCTGCAGTCTCCTCATTTTGTATTCGGCCGTACAGAGCTAAAGTTAAATTTTATCTATAAGCTTGAAATTAAAACTAAAATAAAAACTTCAAGAAAGATTTTTCATGTTTTAAAAATCATTTTAAATCTTAGGTACATTTAAGGTCCCAATAAATGTGTCAACACTTCATAAAAACATCCACCTCCGTGTAAAAAAAAAAAAAAAAAAATGCTTTTCTGCAATATTTTAAACTAATATTTGTTTTAATTCAAGCTAATTAAACTTTAAATCATTTCTTCCTCAAATAAAGTTCCAGAAAAGTACATTTTTTAATAAAGAGAATTGTGTTGTGTGTTGTGTAAATAGATTTGTCAATATGGCCGATTGTAAAAAACAAAAAAAAAAAAAAAAATAATTCCAATCAATTTATGGTTGCGGTTTTTTGCTATGTAAAATCAGTTCAAAGAAAGCAAAAAAATATAAAAAAAAAAAAAAAAAACATTGTTCATTTATGAATTAGTTTACAAAAGTTTTTATTTAAAATGGTTGACAATGATTTTAAAATCAAGGGAAATAAAATTAAGTGAATTATTAAAAACAAGAGATGAGAAATTTTATTTTCAGCTAAAAATTAAATAAAACCAGTACCAGTATCTGCATTTTTCTATGTTAAAAAAAATAAAATAAATAAAAAAAAAGAGGAGCTTCCGTGGCGGGGAGGTATTTCCCGGAATCTCCCGGGTCTTAAAAAAATGCACTGCATAATAGCTTTTTTTTTTTGGTGTTGTTGTTACTGCACTGCTTGAATCTTAAACTCATTTTTTTTTTTTTTAAACATGTGTCCTTTCTTTGTATTTTTATGTTTTTAGCATAAATTGACTTTTTTATTAAAAATGAAATCGGTTTTTATTACAAAAATAAATTTAAATTTTCCCCGCAGATTCAGACGAATTTAGAAAAAAAAAAAAAGAAAAATTACCCAAATGATGTAGAATTCCAGGGAAAAAGTTTTCAACCGCGATTTCCCTAATTAACATCCACGATAAGCATGGACATAAAAAATAATTGTACACAAGGTCATTCAATATTCATTGTTGCTCGTATTTTCTAAAAAAAGCACGTGACCCAAGTCATAACTAGCCGACAATTAAGTGCACAAATAATAAATATAAAGCAAGGCAGACAATAAATGACCAGAAACTGACATTACAGAAGATCTAAGTAGATAAATGTTAATCCTATTTTAAGGCGATAAATTTACCTTGTGATGGTAACACAGAACGAAGGAGACACGCAGAAGCCGCCATCATTTATACAACTCCTAAGTTGAGAGGAACTGAACAGTGAGCATGCGCAGAGTTTTTCTTATTTCCGTTCCTTATGAAGGAGCAAAGAGGGGGGCCATTTTAAATTTATATCCCTTATTTTTTAAATTTATATCCCTTATTTTTTAAATTTATTTAAAAAAAAATATGCATAATTACATTGGAACCCGCTAACAATTTTAGAATAAAAATTTAATATGTGAATTTTCATTGAAGAGGAGAAAAATCGATCTGAATGGAAAATTTTATGCTGGAATTAAAAATTATTTATTATTAAATTATTTATTTATTGATCTTAGTTCAATCCAAGGCCCAAAGTGTGTGTAGGAAGACAGTGTTGCACAAGTTTTTTTTCCTACTGGAATTCAAAGTCTGCTTTACAAAGTTGAAAAATTGATTTTATCAGTCTTAGTATTTGCCAGCGACAATGTCAAAGTGAAACTGAAAGGTCACCAATTGATATTGTATTTACAAGGTGAGTTGGATACAAAGCCACAAATATTGTGGTTTGCGCAATTAAACGCAATTTTTAATGCAAGAAAGATCATGTCAGGATCACCGATTTATAGTGGGTTAGCCAATCTGTATTGGTTATAAATACAAATAAAACTGACTCTCTACTATTTTTCCTACAACGACAAATATAAGTACACCTTCTCATTTTCATACATATAGTTCAGCAACTTAAGTTCTTTCAAATAATACACAATCAAGAACTCTAAAGTGTTTTAACAACTTTAGCATCATATATTTTGTATTTGTTGTGTTTTATAAAAAATATTTATTGTTGAACAAATTCTACTTGATTATTTTTCTTGTTATCTTTGTTACATCTGATATAGTAAAAATAGTATAGGGTCAGTTTTATTTGTATTTATAACCAATACAGATTTTTTATCAACATCAATTTTTGTACAAAAAGTGGATCACAGAGCTTATTCAGCTAAGAAATATTTTCAGAAAACCTCAACTTCTGATTGGTCACTTAATATTTAAATCATGCCTGAATATCAATATCAATTTTCGTACAAAAAGTGGATCACAGAGCTTATTCAGCTTAATGTATATTTTCAGAAAATCTCAACTTCTAATTGGTCACTTAATATTTAATAACATCGACCTAGTTCTTGACCTGACCAAAAAGATAATTCCGCCAAAAATCTATCAAGCTTCTGTGAGCCTATCATGTGACCAAAGTTAGCAATAAAATATGAAACGTCTTTCATCTTTGACAGTGTGCCAATCAGAATCCTTTGAACTCGTCACACAGTTCCAGGCTTTACGTTAAAGTTCCTTAACATGATTCCAGCCTGAGAGAACACTCATTCACACAATATTTTATGACGAACAATCAACTCAAGTTTTCCACATTCAACTTAATACACAAATCTTTTTCATATGCTTTCAAGTTCAACATTAATTATTGCAATTAACATAAACACAGCTTGTTAAGAAACACTTACCCCAACTAGAATATTCACTTCGAACAAGTGAAAACAAATCAAAGAGTGACAAATCCGTAAACCTTAAAGTAAGTCGTAAACAATATTTCTCTATTTCAAATACAAACTTGAACTCTTTATTTTTTTCTTAAATTACTATAATACCAAAACACACTTTCTCATTATTGTACAGACCATTCAACAAGTTATAATCTATCAAAGCAGAACTTTGATAACTTTTCATCTAAACATAAAAGAATGTTTGAACTTTTTAAAACTACCTTTTTACTCCAGTTGTTTGTACCTTTTTGTTATATAAATATTTTATTCATTGTTGTGCAAAAACTGTTGTTTCTCATGTTGTCCTTATTCTATGTTTGTTGAATACTAAAATTTAATGTGAGAGGAAATTGTTAATTTCATCACGCAGCCTAATTTACTCAACAATTTTTTATTCATATAATTTAATTAATTAACACAACCTCCACAATACAAAGTTTGCACAAAAATTTCCTTTTGCACACCAAGGCAGGATAATAATTTCTGATAAAAAGGATTACCATCAAAAGATGGAAAAAATTACACTTTGGGAAAAGACAAGGATTTTGAAATGATAAAAAGAGAAAACGATAGAAGAAGGCAGTAATAAAAAAAAAAGGTAAAACCACATTTGACAAAAAATGAAAACATCTACTTTTACTTACCCCATGAGCATCTCTGGGACATATGGTAATTCATCCTGTATGACGATAAACTACATCTATGTCCTGGGTAAGACATAAAATACATACTCTGATCAGGAGGTTTTGAAGAGCATGGAACCACCTCTTAATTGCTGGTGTTCCCAGGGTGGTAGCACCTGTTAGGGTCCAAGCTATGGGTAAATAGTTACCCCCTCCCAAAAAAAAAAACTGGGGTCAAAACACTATGAAAGTGTAAAAATAGGTTTTAATACCAGAAATACTTTGTAAAAAATTATTACCAGCAATACATTTTTGACAAAAAAATATTACCATCTATACATTTAAAAAAAATACCAGCAATATATTTTTGAAAAAAAAAAATAATATTACCAACAATAAAAATCTTGTCGGCATTAAGAGGTTCATATGCTGTAAAACAAACCAAACCAAACCATATAGTAATTTTTGAAAAGTCCCTTTTAAATTCATAATGTTTGTGCTTGGGAAAATTTCTTTAAATTCTTTTTTGTTCTTTGTTGTCTAACCACAGGAGAATTTTCACTTGAACTTCAAAATTCTTTAGTTGCTCTGCAGCTGGCTGGTAACTGGTGCCTTCTTGATGCTTTCTTCTTGATGTCAAATGCCTTCTGCTCCTTGATATTGATTTGCCTTGTACTCTTGCTGTCAAAAAGTTTTCTCACATCTACTGACATGAGCTCTATATATTTGAAAAATTAGGTCCTTTCAAATTGTTACTAGAGCTTGAGACCACATCTCTCATTGGTCAGAAAAAAAAAATTTTCCATCAATTGGAAATTAGTGAGTTAGCATGCATGTTACACCATTATTATCTCAGATAAATAAGGGCCCCATTCCATTTTGATTGCAAGAAAAGATGACAGAAAAAAGATAAGAGACTCTATTTTTAACTAGAATAAAAAAGTATATATAATAATAAGAAAGAAAGAAAAGGAATACAAAGGAAGTAATAATGTTCTCATGTGTTTAATGTCTACTTCAGTGAAATGGAAAAACTTTCCAATTTCAAATCTTTTCATTTGTACCCTCTTACTTCTTTAAATAATGTCCCATGTTCAAAATTATGCAATATTTTGTTGAAGTTGTGAAGCTTAAATATTTAACAATGCAATAGTGGAATTTTTATTGTTGCACAATTCACAAGGAATTAATTCAATTAACTTAAGAATTATGTTTCATCAGAAAATTTCAAAAAGAAAATCATGAAATTTTCATGGGTACCATTAGTATATTTAACAAGATATGAAAATACTCCAATAAAGCCAATGTTTCATCTATAGAAAAACACGATGAGAATATAATATAGAGAAGTTATAATTGAATAAATAATTATAAATCTGTTGTGGACCCAGAATATATCCGAAAGAAAACTTTTTGGCAGTCCTCGGCTATATTTTGTAAAGTTAAATTTGGTTCTCCCTCTAAACTAGTTAGGACTCTACGTCTAATTTCTGTATCTTCCGTTGATACAAGTCCTTGTACAAATATTAGGCATTTTAAATTGTCTGCAGTAAGTTCGGCCAATTTAAAATCGTCACAATGTTTGTTAAATACCGATGCGAACGTCAAGTAATCTTCGCTGTCTTTCTTGGTTAGGTTTAAACACTTCCACCTTTTGTAGAATAATGACGTTTTTGGACTGAATAATTCTGTAAGGAGATTTACAGCTTCAACAAAAGTCAAATCACTAGTTTTTCGAGGTAATATGTAGTCCATGAATTTGCTATGTTCAGTAGTCCATAATTTCCAGAGCAGTAGGCATAGCTTTTTAGCGTCTGCCCATTTCCCACAATCTATTTCGATTAGATCCTCATACCTTTTGAAATATGAAGCGAAGGTTTTATCTTTGTCTAGTGAATAAGTGAAATTGTCAATTGCACTCCAAATCGCGTTTTGTGAAAAAGTAGTTTCGCTCTCGGTATTTTGACCCTTATTCAACCCTGTTTGGTGAAGCAATTCTTCAAACCTCTCTGTTGTTCTATCATTTGTCGCTGTAATTTTAATTGTTCTTCTTCGTGTTTTTACTGTAATTCTAATTGTTTTTCTTCGTTGTGGTTCATACTGGACTCTAACCAGTTCTGACATAGTAGCTTTAAACTCTTCCATGTTTTAATTTTCAATATAACGTAATTTTCATTGTACCAACCCTTTGTCTTGCTCGGAGAGGAAGAGAAAAAAAACAAATCACTTCAAATCTTTTCATTTGTACCCTCTTACTTCTTTAAATAATGTCCCATGTTCAAAATTATGCAATATTTTGTTAAAGTTGTGAAGCTTTTTTTTCTCTTTAAATGTTCTATTCTTGTACACAGTAGTTTTTTTGGACAACCGTGAAACGTAAAATTTATAACTTCGGCACAATTTTTTCTCTTTTTTTTTTGCCGATAAGCCTGTTTTTTAGACTTTTATTTTTTTTTTATGGTTCTCCCATGGAGTTCTTTAAATCCTCGTCGCCAGTGTTGTGGGCCCAGAATTGGTCCGAAAGAAAACTCGAACTCAGCAATTTAGTGAAAACATATTATTAACAAAAAGAACGAATACAAAAGTGTTGCACGTCCAACTGATGGCAAAGTACAGTAGTCAACTCGTCAACTGTAGACAGCAATATTTAGTTAGCCCCCCACGTGGGTTACATGTGGCACAAGACGGTTTAACGTGGGATCTCTGAGCCCGTAGTCTCGGCCAAAAATAATCCCTCTTTGAGCCCGCATAAACAGGTTCAGGGGCAGTTAACCTCCCCGAATGAGACTCTGCCCTTCGGTGTGGCCTCACTGCCCGAAAGCAGAGAGTTTGACTGTTTAGCTGTAACAGGTCAACT